CAATCTGCCTTCGATCTGTTTGCTGTCAGCAATCTGTAAGAAAAACAATCCGTACGGAGAGATCTGAATAAAAAAAGAGAGAGAACAGAACCAAGCAATTGCTCAGACTCTGGGTGGCGATACTTTGTCGCAATCTGCCTTCGATCTGTTTGCTGTCAGCAACCTGTAAAATAAAACAATCTGTACGGAAAGATCTAGATAGATCGAGAGAGTGAACAGAACTAAGCAATTGCTCAGAACGCCGAGAGATGCGCATAAAGGTACAGATGTGCAATGTGACAATTAAACGCATCTCCGAGGAGAGAAGGAAATTTTTTTGTGGGAGGGAGGGAGGTAGGTATGTTTATACCCCCTCGCTTAGCCTCGAGCCCCTATATTCACGTCGCTCCCACTCACCGTCAAGCAGTTCGAAGCATCGGACATGCTACTGATGCTGCGGGAGATCATCCCGACGACATATTTACCGCGAATAATGGACAAGGTGCCGGTCATTCCTTAGGAAATCCCTCGAAGACGGGCCCAGAAGAGTTGCCAGCCCCAAAGTCAGTCGCTGAGTATCGACCTAGTCTGATACAAGAAGACACGGCTTTCTACGCCGCCATTCAGCTTTGCAAACAATACCTTGAGGAGAGGTCCCAAGGCAACGGCAACCGAAAAGCGAGCCCACTGTCTAGCAGAATATCAAGTAGGATCCCTTTTGTGATTTTCATTCAATATCTGACACTCTTCGTAGGATTTCCGAGTAAAGGCTCCCACACCTGATTTAGATCAAAGCTCACAAAGCATCAAATGTACACGAAGGGATATTTGCTCCACGAAAGACTCCCAAATCAGCAGACTGCATATTATGGGACAGGTCGGCTCCGAGACCTGGTGTTGAAGGCTACTTGAATGTTGGATTCCTCGAGGAACGACTGCGTCTCCTAATGCATCCTCTGTACAGCCGTGCTTGGGCTCTACAGGAATATGTTCCTTCTAAGAATCTACGGAAGAGACCAACTAGTCTGGCAGTGCAATGAAAGTGAACAGAAAGAGAGCGCCTGACCTAGCATTGACTTATTCGGAGGATCAACTGCCCGCACTACCAGGTCTTGCCATGTAAGTCGTTGTCCCATTGATGGCAGGTTTATTTACAAGAATAACATTTGAAAGGAGAACAGGCTAGCACATTGCTGGGTTGATATGTGGGAAGAAGGGTTCAGTGGTCTCTGCGATACTGTCTGCGATGTGGTGTCTTCGAGTTACTCATAACGAGGACTTTGATTGTAACCCAGACTGGCAATACTCCAGCTGAGTATCGACGGTGGGGGTGTTTTCTCATGATAAGGAGGACTGCTTTGATGGTTGTGGAAGCAAAATACTGTTATCATATGAACAACATGTCAACATCCCCCTCCGCCATTCCTGATACTGTTCGGGCCATTTTGTTTACCAGTCCATTTTGCTCCTCTTGTCGACTTATGAAGCAGACGCGGAAAGTCGACACGCTTAAGCGATATTCTTCACGTCTTTGAAATTTTATTCTATATTATCATAAAGAACGAGTACCTTTTTGCATTATGGTATCGAGCTGAGCACCGAATTTGATGAGAAATTGGAAATATACATATGCAGGCCGGAGAGTAAGCAACACTAGTTGGTAGAAACATGAAGAGATAGCTGACAAGATGCCAGATACTGGTCCGAGATTTCAGGGTCTTGGCGATGGGCTGATTCATCATGAAGGGAGACCCCGGAAGAAAGAAAACCCACTGAGATTGAATTCTACCAGAAGTTCTTGGTTAGCAGTGGGCATCCCCGGTCAAGATCGAAGTATTCTGTGATGAAAACAACAATCTGCGCCCGTCCACAAGACTAGCAACGGCTGAGATCTGGTCACGCTTGAAGCGGACCTCACACATATCTCGAGCTCGGACATGGACCCGACGATCACGGTGGGTGAGGATGGGCAGTGGTTTTATGTTGTGGCGGGTGCGGTCGAGGCGAGCTTCCGATATATGCGGCGAGGCGTTGTTGGAAGAGAAGAAAGCTGACTAAGACCCTTATCTCTTATCTCGTATCTCGTATCTCGTATATCTTATCTTGTATCTCTTATCTCGTATCTCTTCTCTCCCCCACTCTTCTTCCCCTCTTGCCCTCTCACCGCCATCTGAGATCCTCTTCCACGCATTCATCATCCATCATCCATCATCAAGAACCATCCATCAGGACCTCGCATCTTCCCATCGCCGTGGATCTCTGAATAGCTTCACCACTGCTGAGTAGGTAAGGCATAAAGTAAAGCAAAGCATCAAGAAGGCAGTACATTCGGACCCACAGCCTTATCGCCTGTCCACCGCGCGAAACCCTCGATAAAAGGCTTCTCCTCTTATTTATATTTATATATCTTGCAGTTATATTTGCATTTGCATTTTTATACATTTATTATTATATTATTAGATCTGTCGCCGTAATGGCGTCGGCCATCATGAATTTCGTCCAGCGCTTCAACACGCAACAGCAGCAGCGCGACACCAGCGACGAGTTAATCAAGGTACTGCCGTTCTTCTACTTGGTAGCCTACTACTAGTACCCTGTGCCAGACAGCGACGGAACCCTACTGACAAACACCGTGCCATAATTAGGATCTCATTCTATACTGCGAGAGGGTTGAGACCGCGCTCCGCGAGGAGAACGCCCATCTAACAGAAGAGCTCAAGAATGCGCAGCTGGATCTCGAGGACTCGCATCGCAGCAGGCGGGATCTGCAGGAGCAGCTCAGGATGGCGAGGGAACTGGTTAAGTCCAGTAAAGCGGACTGCGAGTCCATGAGAGTACGGACCGGCTCTCCCTCGCGGCGAGGGTTGCTGACTGAAAGGCATCGCAGAATCGAAATCCTTATATCCAGGTCTTGGTTGATGGCGATGGTATGATTGTACGTCCCTTGCTTCCCGTTCTACTCTCGTCCTTCTCCTGCCCTTCCCCACACACAGCCAGCTAATGCTTCTCGTCTCCCAGTTCAACAAAGACTTCGTCCGGCAGGGTGTCGAGGGAGGGAAACAAGCCGCGGGCGCCCTTCGGAATATCATCCTTGAACACTATGATCACATAGCGGACGACATCGAAGTTATGGTTAAAGTTTGCGCAAATGTTACAGGCTTATCAAGAGCTCTGGTTCGCGACGAGAGCCTCGAGAACGTTAATGTTTTCAGGGATTTTACTATCGGCTTTACACAGGGAAAAGCCTCATTTGAATTTCTGGACGTGGGCCATGGGAAGGAAAGAGCCGATTCCAAGATTAGAGGTATGGTCAAGACATGACGAGAGGGAGTCTTTGGCGTCTCCCTGGTAGGAGACTTTCGCTGATCATGACAGAATAATCAGAATTAATGCGCTGGCATCTTCGAAATCACAACTGCAAGCAAATCCTTTTGGGCATCTCGCACGACGCTGGTTATGCCCCATTTCTTGACGAAGTAGTTACCGCAGACGAGCGCAGTCGTATAGCCATAATCCAAGGTCCTCCCACCGTCCGCGAGCTCTCGGCAACCGGTCTACAAATTATAGATTTTAAACAGATATTCCGCCAGGAGAAACTCGTCAACCGGACCCTGTCCAACACATCACTTACGCTGCCTTCCACTTGGGCAGGTATCACCTCTAACTCTCCATCCAAGAATGGGGCGTCGGTGAAGCAACCAGTCCCTACCACTACCCCGGTCTGGAATCCGGGGCCAAGAGGCTTGGACGACCCTATCACTTTAAATACCGCCGCCCTGGATAAACTCCGGCGCAGAACCAACAATAAAAAAGTATGTAACAATCACTACCTGCGCGGGCCTTGTATCAAAGACGATTGCACCTTTATACACGACTTGGTGGACCTCACGGACGAAGAGCTCGACGCAGTCGCGTACTTGGCGCGGCAGAATCCCTGCCTCAAAGGCCAGGACTGCGAACAAGAGTATTGTATTTATGGACATCACTGCCCGTCTACAACCTTCAACAAGAAGGATAATGAGTGGCAATGCTCAGCTACGAATTGTCGCTTTGCAATTGATGCCCACCCACCTAACACGCTGACGAGGCGAAAGGAAAGATGGGAGAGGGAGAATTAACGTTATTGATCTCCCTACTATCTGACATTCCTCTCTTCAGAATGGCCACATCGACAGAGAGGAAAGTCCATTAATGCAGCCATTGCCAAATGTTCAGAGCTTTCATTTAATACCATTTTTTCTACCCCAAGTGGAGGATTGATTCCCCCGATTGGAAATTTCAAGATTTATATTAGGTCCTGCCCCGGAAACAAATTGATGAAGGCCTGACTGGCTGGCTGGACCGTTTGCTTTGTCTACGAAGTCGCTCTTGGGTGCGGGCGTTAATAATTTGATATTATGACTGACCGACCTGCCATCTGTGCGGGGAGAATGTCTATATTTATTATCACTTACTCACTCTTGACAGGATTACCTGTCTACTCGAGTATAGAGAGAGGTTGATCTGTGCATCGGAAGAATTCAACATCTTCCAACCCATGCGGGCAATACGCAGAAGACACATTCGCGAATACCTCTCTCGCAGTTACATTAGATTGACAGAAAATTTACTCCTTTTGTCACCTTGCTACCCTCTGCGCCTAACAGTGTATTTTCTCTACATAACGTTAGTAAGTACGAAGATGAGAGTACCCACTTGATCTTTTTAATAAGGCAAGGCGATATTTTTTGTTCACTCATGAAATCAGAACCTGTTTATCAATGCTTCATTTAAGCGCTTGTTCTATATATGTCTTTACTCATTAACCTTTCTTTTCACCAGTTGTTTTTTAGTTGTAAGTCACGTGAGGATTACCTCCTGCTTCACTTCTTTTGATCAAAGCGGACCTTCCTTTGTAAAAGTCAAGCAACTACTATCCTCTCGAGTTGACAAGAGATCGTTCATCTCTTGTTTATCTCCCTCGATAACAAGTGGAGTATCTCTTCTGTTTATCTCTTGAAAGACGCAACCATCACTAGCCGCGTTTAACTCCAATCCTTATCTTGCAAAACATCATTATGTTTTTTTCTTCTCCGAAAGGTAATCAAGAGAAGGGCACAGAGAACACCTCGAGCAAGGCCAGCCAGGTCCCTGATTTCCTCAGTAATCAAGTTATTCTAGGCACTCATGTACCTTCGCGCGTGCAGACGCAAGTAGGGCTTTGTGTTAAGCTGTTGGGGGCCCGCAAAGAAGTAAGGGGGATATTTTGCGAGGGAGATATTAAGACCGGAGACCTGATCTTCAAGATCAAGCATCCCCTGCTGACTATTGTATCCTTGTCCCTTTCAGACTTCCCCTTTGAAATGACTTGGGCTAACACTATCGCAGGTCGAAGACGGATCGCAACAATCTCGCTATACCTGTGACAACTGCATGGCAACTATCGCGCGCCTCAAAAACGGCAACAAACTCTGGACTGTCCCAGAAAAGGACCTCACCTTCCAAAAGTGCTCTGGATGCGAACAGGTTTACTACTGTAACAGGGTGCGTTCAGAACTCCTTCATCATCCGAAGATCTACTATCACACTGCTGGACCGAGACTGAATGTTGAACCAGATATGCCAAGTAGCAGCCTGGAGGCACCACCACAGATTCGAATGCGAGACATATGTTACCTTGAAATCCAAAACCGCGATTGATAACGTTGGCTGCGACCCTGTTCTCACCTTCAGCAACATCCGCTATATCATTCGTCTAGTTCTGCTTCACCACTCGGGAATAATTGGAGAGAATACCGAGACACAGTGGACAGAGTTTCTGAGTCTGTGTTTGTCAGCAATGTGGAGAAGAGAAAGTGATCCAACGTTGGCGGTTGATATTGACAACTTTGCGAGTACCATGAAGGATTTTCTGGATACGCGTCTGAGCGTTGAAGAACTCGCCTACCAACAATATGTCGTAGGCTTTCTCTCCCTTCTTCTAATTCGATCCTTACTGAGAAGCATTAGATGGTCCATAACAAGAAAAGTATCCTAGTTCCCCTCCTGAAAGGGAGCAGTAGGCTATACGATCCAGCGGTAAAGTCCCTCATACGGGTTGGACATTTTGTCGACCCCTTCGTATCCAGCATCAGACACTCTTGTGACCCCAATGCCTGGTACGTCTTTGATCACAACGAGCTTCAGGTCCGAGCATGCAAAGATATCCCGGCAGGCTCCGAGATCACCTTTTGCTATGCCGACGAGAGATATGATTACGAATCGCGAACCGCACAGCTCAAAGCTGTCTGGAATATCTCTTGCAGCTGTAGCCTCTGCGCAAAAGGCCCCCATGGGCCCACAGGAGATCTCCGCTGCCGTGTCATAGATTTGATCACTTCTAACCCCAAGCGACCGCCAACTCTCATCCCCGATATTGAGATGGCTATTGCAGATGTGCATAGCGCTGGCTTCGCATACGGTGCCGATCTGATGCGGCCTCTCTATCAGACCGCCATGCGCTCCTATCTTCACTGGAAACATTCCGCCAACATGCTCAAGATCTGTTTGATCATATATTTCTTGATAGAACCATCGACGGCGCCACCAACGCCCCTGAGTCAGCGTCTCAATACTTTGCTCCACATAATCTCGCTGTCGGATCCGCCGATCAAACTTGGGCTTTCTGCTCTGCCTCCGAGGGTGCAAGAACTGTTGGATGCCCTGCGTGTCAATTTTATGGAGCTTCTGGTTATAGGTACGGAAAAGTGTTATGGGAAGGAAAGTACCGTGGGTCTCTTTGAGAGGGACTCTTTTATGGCCTATGTGAAAGGGCAAGAGGCTGCGAAGAATGGCCATAATTCTGCCTTCACCCCTTTGGCCAAGAATAGTGAGCAGAGGGCCGTCTTTCTTGTGGGTCTTAATGAGTTGCTGGGGTGGGCTAGTATTCCGAAGATGACTGAGCAGCAACTGCTAAAGTTGGTCAGTTGAAACAGGGTTTTTTATGATATGAAGGACTGGGGCGCCGATGAGGAGTGTTGGGTTCAATTAGGATGGGTTGTTGGAAGAATCAGCGGGAGTTAGGACTAGGCGCACTGTTGTATTGTAACTTGTAGCGAATAAAAATGCATCGAATCCATCCCAGCCCTTAAGTTACATATCCGAATCCATGATTCTTGACGTAGAGATGTCGTGAGGCCTGAGAAGTGCGAAATGTTATGTGCCGTCCTACCTCTTGTTTCTCCAGTCAGTCAAAAGAGGTACCTTGGGGGGGCGTAATGAATAGGTAGTTCAAGTACTTTTGATTATGAAAGGCTAACTATTTACTACCATGCATATTATGTCCCAAGACTACCTTACCTATATATATGTTCTTCCAACTCCCAAGACGCTCAGTATGTATGACCCCAACCTACCTAGATACCTATTTTCATGACCCATGAACCCATGAACCCATGACGAGAAGAAAAGAAAATCGCTTTTCCATATATGATTCATTATACCTTCTCAACCACCGCTTCCCTCGCCATCCTCTCCCGCTCGATCGCCTCCTGTTCCTTCTCCTTGCGCTCTCGCAAATACGTACAGAACATGCTGCCCTCCCTCAGCACGTCCCCTTTCCACAGAAACATAAACGGCACGATACACATCCCCAGGCTCAGGAACCCTAGGAGCGAACTCGCCCACGCGACTCCGAGGTTGCGATACATCGGCGTAGCAGCGAACGGCAACACCGCGCCCGCGACGCTACGACAGCACGAGCTGGCTGCCATGGCCGACGCCGCGAAGATGTCGTACGCGTCCGTGAGATAGTTGAGGAGCGCCATGAAGATAAGCACATAGCCCATACCGAAGGGGATCCCCGCGAGCATCGGCACGTAGAAGGGGATGCTTGGTCTCGCGGTCCAGCCGAGCCAGAATAAAGCTACGACGTAGCAGGGCCCGCCGATACAGGCTAGTGGTAAACGACGGAATTCTTCTCTGCTCGTCCAGGGTTTGTGGAGACGTTGGGCGCGCTGGAGGTAGGAGTCGTAGCAGAGGAAGAGGCCCGTGGCGCATGCGGCCCCTGCGGCGATGGGGAGAAACATCAGCCCTGCGATTCCTGGGGATAGATGGTAGACGCCTTGGAAGATGATGGGGTAGGCTTCGAAGTACATGTAGAAGATCCCGTAGGCCACCGCGAGGTAGGCGCAGGTTGCGGCGACGATGAGTTCGAAATAGATCATACGCAAGGGACGAGTGAGCGTCACGGATACCATCTGCTTGAGTCCTTTCTTCTCGAGCTCTATAGGCGCGAAGATTTGGGAGTTGCCGGTGGCTTTGCGGAGGGCTGAGGCACGATTGGCGAGCAGGATAGGCCCGTAGGTTTCGGGGAGGAAGAGAAGGAGGACCATAGAGGCTCCGGCGAAGATGAGTCCAATCCAGAACGCCCACCTCCACCCTATGGTTGGCGCAACAAATCCAGATATCACAGGGGCGACGAGCGGTCCTACGCAAGTTCCCTGGAGGCTAGGTTAGATTTGAGGAGTAGGATATAAAGGAATAACTTACTCCAATGAACGCTGCGACGGCGCGTCCTCTTGTCACGGGGTCATCGTATAAATCCGCATAGATACCTCCGACGACGGCTATAGGACTACTGGCGTTGACTCCTGTAAGGAATCTAAACACTAGCATCCCTCCAAAATTGGGTGCCAGAGCACATGCCATTGTGAAAATCGTGAAAAGGATGAATGTCGAGATCATCATGATTCTCCTTCCATAAGTCTCAGACAACGGGCCAAACAACAAGGGTCCCAAAATATATCCGACTAGAAATATCGATATTGGCAGGATTTGAGCGGCGGAAGATGTGATGTGGAAATCATTGCTGATGAAAGGGATGGCGTTCGAGGGGAGTGAGGAACCCATAGTGCTGTTGATGACTATTGTCATCCCAATCACAACAATAAAGGCTTTCCTTTTCTGAGTGCCACGATCAGTATTCTCTCACAGATTGCAGTATCTGGAGTCATACAGCAGACCAGTTGTATGGGCATTCTGGATCTCCATCTTCCCAAGAAACGATTTTTTTCTGGAGTTCATGGACATTTGAAGTTGGCAAGTGAGCCTTCTGGCCTTCTCCTTCCACTTCATATCGCTCTCTCGCGTTTGCTTCATCGATCAATGAGGTTATTCGTGACAGTCCATTTTCCTGTGCTGGCTTTTGTCAATAATTGCCCTAACATTGAAGTGTCGGTAAGTAAACTCACCAGGTCCTTCAATACCCCCAGCGCCACGAAATTCTGTTTTCTGGGTTGAAGTAGACTCCGTCTTAATGATTGAAGACATGGTGATGAAGCTCCTTGCAAAGGCCACGACTTAAAGGGAGACTTGGGACCATTGTTCAGTGAGCACACAATACACAGAGCAGGTACTTATTTTTTTAACAAAACAATGTTGAATAGTGGGATGTGGAGCTTCCTTAATAGAAAGCCCCACGGGGCCCCCCTTCCCTTACTATGGACTGCATTGCCTTAACAAGTTGATTCCGCACATCGCTACCTATTGTTCCGACTATCAACCGAATGTCGATCTCCCAAGCTTCCAGGGGCCATGATAGAGAGCCTGATTGGCGAGCCGGCAGTTTGTGCCGAAAAACAACAGTGTCGAGAGGGATCATTTAGTTGCGGGTAGAAGACGGTGAACAGTACGGTACAGTACAGTAGTTGGGCAGTGCCAGCAAGGAGGCTAATATGGACTGGACCTTTGAACCTCAATAAGTCAACAAAGGCTCTTGCAGCAGTTGTTGGCTTTTGACCCACCAGAGTGGCTCTGGGAAAGCTGTCACCGTAACAAGAGGCCTTCGTGCAGAATCGCGGCATTCCGCCAAGTCGTCTTCACGAAGAACTGGACCGTGGCCCATTCAAGAACAGTAACGTGTCGCGCATATCATCGGGTCACGCCCTTCCAGATCACTCTCTTCATGTCTTCTTGTGTCACCGCTTGATGCTGTGTTTCCCAAGCAGGTCTCAGATGACGGGTATTTTTTTTTATATTTTCCGAAGGCTATGTTTCCAGGTTGATGCTCCGTCCGAATCGCGCATATAATTGGACCTTTAATTGCGACATTTCCTCTCTGACCGCGGCCAGCTTCTCCTCCACCGCAGATACTTCCTCCTCGATCCTGCTTGTCGACGTCGAGAGCATTTCTTGGGCTTCGGGCAGAGGTAACGAGATGAAAGAGTCTCCAATTTTGTAGCTGTTACAAATTAGAAGTCAGCGGGAGGCCTCAAAATAGTTGTAGGTGACATACGGTATCATGTCCTCTTCGTCGGCCAACTCCAATTCGTTCGAGACATCATCGAGGTCCTCTTTCTCTTTCTGCAGCGGAATATGGAGTCAGCGAGTGCATCGCATATGTAACTGCAGAGGCCTTGGGCGACCAACATGTTTTGCCTTCAGCTCCTCCTCGAGCACAATCTCCCGTTGGTGCAGTCGAGAGAATTTGTTGATCTTGTCTTGGTCTTCTCTCCGGACTTCAACCTCGTCTCCCCCTTCGTCTTCTTTTGAGAGCTGGAAACGTTATCAGCTTGAGTAACTACCTGCCTCAAAGGACGAGTTACGTACCATTCGACGCTGCATGGCGGGCTGCTTTGTGATGTATGTAGAGCTTAGAATGCGCTGCGGGTGAACTGGCACTGCGAGCGAGCAAACAGGGCAAACGAGATCGAATATTGATGCCTGAGGTATCAAGGTGGAATTTCCATTTTGCATCTCCCACTCACTCTTCACGACCCTTCAACTACCTGAAAATCTGGGAATCTGGGGATTTGATTTGGAGCAATAGTCACTGTCTATCAGGCTTACTATTGGAGTGCCGACTAGATCAGACTTAACTCCTTACTTATTGTTTGCACTCTTCTCTCTTCAAAGTTCTTCAAAGTATCTTTCTTGACAGTACCTCTCTGCCACAGCGTTTCTTTCATGTATCTCTATCTCCCAACTCTCTTCTATCAGTCTACAATCAATGCATATGGCGGGTGTAAGCAAGTGCAAATTCACATGCCTCTTCTTTGTCCCGGATGTTTAAAAGATTCTACTGTTCAAAGAGCCATGGCAGTGCAGGGCAGTCTCTGTTGCTTGTACACAGAATTCCTCATCAGGTAGAGGATCGCTCGTGCATTTGACAGTTCCCAAGGCCTCTGTGCCTCACTTCCCTTGGGCCAGGCACCGCGAGACCCTCGGTTTCTTGACATGCTTTTGGTTGGAAATGTCACCATCATCCCCAGTAAGTATTCGTTCATTGGCCATTGAAACCCCTGCTCTCGTTGACCCTGGCTATCTCCTGGCAGCTCTTATCAGCCCGAGCGGGGGATGTTACTTCAGATGTTACTAGCTGCTCAAGTCGTCAGTTATTTGCTTATCTTTCAATCTGATGTTATATCTATCACATCCTACCGCATTTTTCATTCTCCTCCTCCTCGGATTTCAGCAGCGAGACCTGTTGGCACCAAATAGGAATCATGACTTCGACAACCGGTGCAGAAATCAACATGGATTTGGAGAAGTCTACGAGCAGGCGTTCTAACGTTCCCGATAAAGCTCTCCTCGCAAGCGAAGCTGATGCCGAGCTTCTGGGTGAGTATTCGAGGTCTGCCCTGGAAGTCGTGAGCCCATGCTGACGGCGCAACACATCAGCCAAACTAGGATACAAACAAGAGCTTCGTCGTAACTTCACCATGGTCGAGGTCTTTGGCATCGCCTTCAGTATAATGGGGCTTCTCCCATCAATCGCATCTACACTCTCCTTCTCCATCCCTGCTGGACCTGCTGGCATGGTATGGGGCTGGTTTGTTGCGTCCATGTTTATCTTCATCGTGGGAGTCGCTATGGCCGACCTTGGCTCTGCAATGCCCACGTCCGGAGGTCTATATTGGTGGTAAGACCAATGCTTCGTTAATATCAGAAGTCCACTGATTGCCCAAGGACACATTACTTTGCTTCGCCAAAAACTCGCAATGCTCTAAGCTTCTTGGTTGGATATTCAAATAGTCTTGGTTTGATTGGAGGGCTCTGCAGTATTGATTATGGCTTTGCATTGATGTTCTGTTCAGTGTAAGCGGACTCTCCCCGTATTCGAAATGCCTGCTCACAAGTTCAGCATTGTCGTCTCCCGTGATGGCAACTGGACCCCGTCTAATGGAGTCGTTTATGCTGTCTTCCTCGCCTGTGTCATCTGTCACGGTGTTCTAGCCTCGACACTGTCCAAAATAATGGGAAAATTACAAACAGTCTTCGTTGCTATGAATCTGATCCTCATCCTCGCCACCATCATTGCTCTTCCAGTCGGCAAGCATATCAACTCATCTCCGCGCAACGACGGGCACTATATTTTCGCCCAACTCGAAAACCTTACCACCTGGCCAACAGGTTGGTCCTTTATGCTGGCATGGCTCTCCCCTATCTGGACTATCGGAGCTTTTGATTCCTGTGTGCATATCAGTGAGGAGGCATCAAATGCTGCCAAGGCCGTGCCATACGGAATCATGATGTCCATCGGCTCCTGCTGGGTCCTAGGATTCGTGATCTTGATTGTTATCGCAGCGTGCATCAATCCCGACCTGGAATCTGTCCTCGGTAGCTCCTTCGGCCAGCCCATGGCACAGATTTACTACGACGCCGTCGGCAAAAAAGGAACTCTTGGCCTGATGTCCCTGTTGTTTATCGTCCAATTCCTGATGGGCCTCTCCATTCTCGTCGCCGCCTCCCGTCAAACCTGGGCCTTCTCCCGTGATGGCGCCCTCCCATTTTCCACGTTCTTCCGTCCAATATCCAAATCATTGGGGTATATCCCCTTCCGCTGTATCTGGGGCTGCGTCCTCCTCGCCGCCATTCTCGGACTTCTCTGTCTGATTGCCTCCGCCGCTGCCTCTGCCCTCTTCTCTCTTGCTGTTGCTGGCAACAATGTGGCGTGGGGACTTCCCATATTCTGCCGCGTTGTCTGGGGCCAACATAAATTCGTCCCAGGACCCTTCTATACCGGTGATCGTCTATCTCCCATCATTGCCTGGGTTGCGATCATCTTCCTCATTTTCGGCATCATACTCGCCATGTTCCCAGATGGGGGGCCCGACCCTACCCCGCAGACTATGAACTATACTGTCGTGATCAACATGGCTGTCTGGGGAGGAGCTCTCGCGTATTATTTCATCGACGCAAGAAAGTGGTTTACCGGACCGAAGATGACTATCGATGTTTCGACGATGAGTGAGGAGCAACAGGAGACCGTAGCAGCTGAGGGATTGGAGGTTGTAGCTGAAGGGGGCACCGCGAAGGTTGTGCCCCACAAAGTTAATGAGGAGAAGATAGGCGAAAAGGGTGATAGTGGTGCTGATTCTGCTTGAAAGTGAGTTTTCGTGCATTCCCAGTTGTAAAGAGAACATCCTCCGGAAGATCTCATGAGTGAATGAATATGAGAGTTAGAGTCATCTTGCCACCTAGCAGTGGGAGGTTGTACAATGTCAACGATGTGTTCACTGTGCCTAGTCGTGCTTTGCTCCAAAATCCAACTTTAGATGGGAGGCAAACATGAAGACATTCAGAAGACGAGAAAGTTCAGTCGCTCTCTCCTGTCGCCAAACTCTTGAAATCGTTCCAGGAATTGAAGACAGGGAAATTGCCTCCAGGAAATTTACAGCGTGGGGTTAGAACTTCCTTCATCTCACAGGCTGAAACTGAGAGGGAGTACCCTGTGATCGTAGCCGCAGAAACCCCTATTCGAAACGAGTCCGCGCAATAGCCCCAGGGAAATTGATGGTGGCATACATGATTGGACAATTATCTTGCAAATTCAGAATAGAGAGAGAGAAGTAATAGGTTACTATCATGTGGCTGAGTTTTAGCAGCAGCAACTCAAGAGGTAGATGTTGTAGCCAAAGCTCCTACCCTCCCGTTGTTTTTTTAAGTTTTCGCTTGATGCAGTGATGAAAGTGAGAAGATCTCCAAAGAGCGAGGAATCTCATCTTTAACCCTTGGTTACGCGCATGTCTTCAGCCTCATAGATATATTCAGTCAGTTTGGGTACTTCTATGTTTATTTACTCGCGTTATTAGGATATGTGCTTCGCGTACAGCCGCGTAGAACGAGGACGACAACAACAACAACGGAGACCGAAAACCTCAACAGAAGATATCAAGAACAACAACCAAGATTGACATGCTCGCCACTATGAGCTCCAGACAAAGAAAAGGCCGGGATGGCTTTTTCGTCAAGGAAACACCTTCTTTGACGGGTACTACTGGTGATATTCATACCTGGTTCGCGGGTTGGCATCTTGACAATGACTTCTCCGTTACCAAGACCAATGAGTTTGTTGATATCCTCCGCAACCTCAGCTGGACTGCGGCTGATCTTCGTCAACTGTCTGTTCAAGAACTTTTAGCCGGCCTCAATGCCTGCGGTTACAACTTTGAGTGGGCTGCTCGATTTGCTGCCGATATGCAGAGAGCTATTACCTTGAAGGTTCGTTTTATTTTGTTATTATCTGGATTCGATATTCAGAAGCTCTACGATTACTCAACTCGTGATATTGTATCTACAACCTTGCTGACTCTGGAACAGGATCTGATTAGCCTCCGTCCCGAGATAAAAGACCACGATCTCCCAATGATCAGAATCTCTCCCAACAAACGTTTTATCCGCGAACTCCCTGGCGTTACCGCTACTGAAACTGAGGTTCGTGCCTGGCTCAATCTTTGGTTCAATCACCGTCCTAGGGAACCCGAATTCAAGCTCTTCGCTACCAAGTTTGAGTACCAGGCCCCCGAATCCCTTGTCGGTGAAGTCCCCTGGAACGGCGCCCGCCTTCTTTTCTTGACGACCAATGATCTAGATCGGTCAATCCTGGGCCGCAACCTTAGACCCGTCTACAGACGTGCCTTGGCAGCGGATATTCGTGCAGCTAGACAGAAGTTGGTATGGAAGACCCAAACGTTCTTGGAAACTCATTCAGAGAAGCAAGCTAACTTTTGAATATAGAAGGATAATATTGGCCAGAAGGCGTGGAAGAACTTAATCAGGGATCATAAGGGCGCGAGGCAAAGACACTCGGTGTAGAGACATATGCATAAGGCGTCCTCGGATCAACAGCGGGATGGTTGTTCCTTCTTGCTACACCGGAGTTTGGCTTACGCTCTATGCGTCGCTTATTGCTTTATTGCTGCTTCTACGACGGATGCTGATGTACTGGGGAATATCGCGGCTGCTTTCTGGCTTTCGTAGCGATATTATCATACGAAGGATTGACGATGCTAGGGACATGGACTGGGTTAGGCGACTATGCTAGAAAATGAACAACTCTCTACTTTCAGACTTCTCTTGCTTCTAATTGTGAAAGATTACAGTACTATAGACGTTGGCTGTTTATTATGGATACTATCCTCCGAGGAGTTATTTGAAGACTTGCAATAAAGATACTACTTCGAAGGGGACTTGATCCCTTTACTGACTTGGGCTCAGCTTCAGCATGTGTAAGGAAAAGCTACGGAATCTTATATGTGTAAAGAGAATCCCCAAAAGATTAAATTGGCCTTTTCTTTGTTCATGATTCAGTCTTCTTGGTGAGGAGTCGTTTGAATAACCTACTTTTTGACCCGGAAAGAGCCTTCGCTTAAAAAGGGGCTCCTACGAAAGGAGGTAAACATTTCGGACAGAAACACACGACGTGTCTTTACCCAGGCACGATTATTCATTCCTTTGCCCTATATCGACACTAAATGGAACTTCTCAGAAATACACCCGAATCCTAGCAATCCGCAACCACAACAACAACACGCATCTCTTTCAAGATGTACAAACAAGGTTACTCCGAACTTCAGCAGCCAGAGTTCGAGGATTCTTGCAACCACCTCCCTCCTGCACCAGCTGCACAAGGCAGCTCTTCTCCCGCCATGGAAAACAGACCAGAGACCGAAAGCGGATCGGAGATCGAAAGCGGATCAGAGATTGAAAGCAGATCAGACAACGACGAGGATACCATCATGCAATCACCAGCAGCTCCTCCCATGACTGAATATGTCCCAGACCCCACATTCGAACCCTTCGTAAACCACTTCCCCCCCAACCGACGCGTTAATCCTCTTGTCACGCAGTGGCTCCGCAACTGGTTCATTCTGGCCGATATCTTCGCAGACGATCTCGCAGTCAAGAAGTTCCTATCCACCATCACCATCACGGGTTTCCATCTACGCGTCTTCAATGAGCGAGGTATCAGACAATACTTCGTGATCAAGAATATGTTGTGTGGTGGCACATCTCCTGCCGGACAGATGGGACCGCTGTTTGACGCTGAAGTGATTGGGAGATTGATAGGGGATGTATTGGAGGCTCGGAGAAGGGCCATGGCATGCCGCAATCAGGATTGGGATGAGATGTATGAGGATACGAGAAGGATGTTGGGAATGACTAGCGAAGATTTGTTGGAGGAGCTGTTTGGTGAGGTGGAGAATGAGATTAGTGACAGTGAGGATGAGGGTCAGAGTAAGCTTTGGCACAAGCACGGCGATGAGCTGTGGGAGGGACAGCAGCTACAGCGCTTGGGTGACTTATGGGCACCAGAGCATAGCTTTGACTCGATGAGACCGATAACAGAGACTGGACCTGGAGAGCCGACATCGTTTAGAGGCTTTACCTTTCCACTTGCACCCCCTCCCGACAGACCCTTTCCTCATCCGACGAGAATCGACGAATCCAACAAGAAGGGAAAAGGCAAGGCCAAGAATAGGGGAAACGGTAAGGGAAAAGATACTGATGAGGGAAAAGGCAAAGGAAAGGAAACAGAAGATTCAGACTCAGACTCCTTCGAGAAAGCGTACGAGAGACAGCAAGAGTTCAGGAAGAGGCGCCTCCGGAAATTCCGAGACATGTTTAGGGACGTTCAAGCAGGCATCCGACAATCTTATGATGAAACAACAGCCATAATCCAGGGCTCAAGCAACGGGGGGACGGTGGCAGAGTCATCATCATCCGCTTCGGCACGCGCAGTCATCGAGGAAGATGATGATGAATCAGATCTCACCGACGGGGAAATTGAGTACAGAGAAGAATTCTATATGAGATTCTTTGGCTCGCACGCCTTCCTGGAAGATGAGTCTGATGCCGATGCTGGTGACAGTGAGGATGAAGAGGATGAAGATAATGAGGATGAGGAAGATAATGAGGGTGAACAGGATATTGAGGAAGAAAGAGGTAATGAGGGTGAAGAAGATAATGATGAAGAGGACTTCGAGGATGATGAGGATGAGTATGAAGACGAAGAGCTGTATGTGGATTATGGAGAGTTGATTACATATCCAAGATATTGAGAATGGAAAGGCGGAAAACGACAGAAGAAATGAGATGTGTAAGGAGCATGGGGATAGGGATCATGTAGCCATAAAGACCGAGGAGACGAACATGAAGGCAAGGATCCCAACATTTGAAGACTGAGATAGTGTACGGTTGGAGACGGAACCAAACGATCAGGTGCTCCCTTGCATCGTCTTGTACAGAGTTTATAGCTTCGGATGCTTGTTAGATTACACAGAGAGAAATCACACAAATTGCAAATTTCATTACTCTATCCCAGCTAATATAAAGGCACTATATCCTCCATTACTTTCAGCTTAGAGAAGACAGGCGTGATACCCTTAGAGACAAGCAAGCTACAAATACACCTACGCATTTTCTAAATATCGATCATTTGATGAACTAGACTTAAAATACCTTACAGTTGCGTAGGTAGAGAAAACAAAGTAAAAATAAGAGGTACTGATTAACTCATCCGGCCTTACTCATATTCCCTAGAATAGCAGTCGTTAATTGGTGGTTTGTTCTGATGGGTCTTGTGCCTAGTTGCGGAAGGACAGTGGGGAACGGGAAGTCGGGGAATGGGGCGAGGAGAGGCAGAGACGTCATCATGGTGGGCGAAGAGGGATAGGACTCAGCCTAGACATGTCTTTTTTGTCAGAGCTGCGTGACGCGCAGAGGTACTATATGCCATGGATAGAGAGAAGATGCGGATTTTAACTCCTGATACTTTAGATTGAGGAGAGTCTGCTTTGAGTTGGTGAAATGGATTCAGTGGAATTAAACTCCTGCGATGATAAAGGCCCATCGATCGCTAATGTACAAATACAAGTTCGAATCCAGAAACTCTGGTCGTTCCATGCATATTCTGAAGTCGTCAATTCCTCAAGCTCATCTATACCTTAGCGAAATCTGTATTATTCCGCCTTCATGTATACCTCTTGACTCGTTCCGCATACAGACGATCCCGGTCTATCCATTCATCTATCTTCACTTCATGTCGACGCTTCTCTGGGGGTCGACTCGCTCGGGTCGAATATCCTTTGTCTGTGCATGCTCAAACCTCTCGCTCAGAACCCGCGGGCTGTGTTTATGCAGCTCCTCGTAATGTGGCAATTCGGCCTGGTACCGCTTTTCGATCTCCTGCAGCCGTTGATGCTCCTTCATGATTTCCTCATGGCGAGCTTTGAGCTCCTTGGCTGATCGTCGACGGGCACGCCATCTAGAGAAGGGAATTACCATAGTCAGCGGCATGCACAGACACGAGGGCTCAGACGTGAGATCAGCGCGAGGGATTGCAGGGATGAAGGTTTGATGCATGGAGCAGGTGGAATTATGAGGAGAGTTGGTTGGAGGATGGTGAGACTGATTTTCATCGTCTTGGCCTGGAGCTGCAAACCCCCCAATATCTCCTGAGAGTTGGTGCCGAAGCCGCTCATCCCTTGAAGTTGGCTGTGTTCTATCGCCTTGGGAATTCTCTCGTCGTGAGGCTTGTTGTCTGTATGCCTCAAGCTCGTATGCTTCTCGCCCGAATGAAAAGCCAAGGCCTTCGCACGGCAGACGGCCCCAGGTATAGTCCATATTGACAGCATCTTCGAAGGGGGCTGTACCGAATCCTCTACACGAGAGTCGGCGGAATATATAACGATTGCAATCGCCATGTGACATGAGGTGCCTGAACGGGAGAGAACTACAGACCCGTAACGCGGCGTGTGATGTCAAAAATGTGGGGGATGCCTTTTGACGGGCGAAAGAAATGTATACAAGGAACTGATAACATGGCGATGGCATGTGAGTACTCACTTGCTAAGAGGCATAGTTGAAGCTTTAAAGCAGTAAAAATAGAGCAGAAGCAGTCTTGTACCTGACTTGGACGAACACGCGACCAAGGAACGTAGAATTCAGGGTATCTTTGCAGGGTCCAGAGAGATGACAATGTTTCCGTGACAGTATGATAGTCAGACAATTGGGGTTTGCAACGGGATATGGTTTGTTCGATGTGAAGACAAAAGGATGAGAAGAGCAGAAGAACACCACGCGTGGGCGGATATCAGGAGATATCGTAGACATAGCATCATTCATAATTGCTCCTGAATCCAGACGTCACCAAGACCCTCTCTGTCCCTTTACCCGGCATTCCGCAGAAGACCCCCGCGGCCCCCACAACGTCCCGAGAGAAGAGAAAACACAAAACATCAGATTCGTTTCCCGCTCTCCAATCTGCCTTCTGACTCCAGAGTGAGAAGTTAGAACATGAGACGCTCAGCCTTGCCGAGGCCACAGTCAGGGGCAATGCTATTGTTGAATGTTTCAATGCTTGAATTGTTGAATAGCACAGCTTCATGAGCCGGGCAAAGGAGTTGAAGGTTGATTGATGTGGCGAGGAACGACGAGGATTTGATGTCACCGCAAGACCATGGAGGACTGAAATTCGAGGCATCTTCGAAAAATGATCAGGCATCAAAATCAGGCCTTATATCCCAGGCATTCAAGGCATCAACTCGAAGCGCGTTCCCCCCCGTCCCCTTCGCGTCTCCCAAGAATCCTTCCCCCTGCCCCTCCATCTCCACAGCGCAACCATGACACCGACACCTCCCTCCCACTCCAGCTTGTCTGACCCTTTTCGCTTTCGCACGCGGCGACAACGAAATGCAAACCACTACGATCCATCCCGCAATGTGACTCCCACGCAACCGCACGCACATGCACAAAGACGGGCACAACCTCCTGTGACCCCGCTCGTGCACCAAGCCGCCGGGCAAGAATTGAGCGACGTCGAGGTCGAGGATGAAGAAGACGAGACTGTAGATGCCGACGGTGAGGGAGAGATGGACGACGAGGGGAACGATGCGGAAGAGGAGGAAGAGGAAGGGGGCGTCGAGGAAGGTTTGTTACAACTATACTTTCTTCTGGTCGTCAGTCACAACACGCTGCAGTCTGTCCTGCTTCCACCTGCCTTACGCCATACCCATATCAATGCCTTCGTTGCGTCTTCTTGGTACTGGAAGACGTGAGGAACGCCTTTCCAGGCTTCGAAATTCCCCTGGAACGAGACCGACTTCTGGTCCTGGGGTCGAGAGTCGAGGCGAATGGCTCGCTCGTATGCTTGAATACGCTAACCGCAGTTTGCAAATTTCAGTACCCATGGATATTGATCCACCGTTCGATGCGACTGCCTTAGGTCTGAAAGAGATTGGGAACTTGGCCAGTTGGACAGTGAGCAGTTGCAAGCCGGGCTGTGGGGTCGAAGCATTGAGGGACGAGGATACAAGTTTGTTTTGGCAGTGAGTCCTCTCTGTACGGCCATACCCCACACAACCTATGCTGATACAACTCAAATGGTAGATCAGATGGTCCCCAACCCCATCACTTAAACATCCATTTCTCACGGCTGGTCTGCATCCGCGCAATACGCATATACCTCGACTTTGACTCTGACGAATCCTATACACCTACTCGAATTATCCTTTGCGCAGGAACGGGCTACCATGATCTCATTGCCTTCTCAACACTAGAATTCACACAACCAAAAGGCTGGATAGATGTGGCCTTAGATCATGTTGGCGGAGGAGAAGATGGGAAGACACTAAGAGCGTTCTTAGTCCAGTTAAGGGTCATGGAGAATCATCAGAATGGAAAGGATACACATATTCGGGGCTTGAAGATCTACGCCAGGGATGAGAGAGCAGGAACTGGTGGGTTGGCCGTGCTGGGTGATGCTGAGGAAAGAAAAGCAATCGTGGCGAAGACGCAGGGTAAAATGATGGAGAGAGGCTTTCTCACCGAGCCGGATTGGATGGGCGATCCGGAACTCAGATGAGCTTCGTGTCAAGCTGGATTTAGTCTTAGTCGGCGAGGTGTTTTGGCGTCATGATACCCGTGGTGATATAACACTAGAGAACGAAATCAAGTATACAGAAGTTGTGTCTTGCATAGCGGTCTTCCTTTCACCTGTCTCTGGACCTGTTTTCAAGGCTCTTTCAGGCATGATCCTAACTCAGCTTCCATGTTGTAAAAGCAAAACTACCTATTCATAGTATCCGAGGACCAAGATATGTCGCTCCGCAAGTGTTTCCACGTTTACAGACTCTACCTCCCCGGGTTAGATTGAACAGAGTCAGTGGATGATATTACGAAGTGAGTGGAAGTCTCTTTAATAATAATAAGAAAAGTTATAAAATGCCTACCTAGATATCTATAAGAATTGGGACAACCCCCCCCCCCCAAAAAATAGAAAAATATCCTAGTTGAGCACGTGAGCAGCGATGCCGTCGGCCCGGGATCTCTGGGGTGATTACTAATCCAGATCTTTGGTGTTTGCTGATCAAGGCTCGTCATCACTGATGGACCAGAGAAGCATCAAAAACATCCAACGAGAATTGCCCTTTGCTCTGCCTCGTCCATCGCATCCTCTTCAACACCAGGACGCTCTCGTTTTCTTTCAATTGACGCTCTGTTCTGACTTATATCTTGACGCAGCGCCTCCCCGCGACTGCTATACATCTCCCTTGTCTTCCTCTCCCTAGAGCACTTCCACCATGCGGTTACGCGGACCCCCCGGCGATGCGGTAATCCTATCCAGCATACTCTTCCCTCTTTTTGCAGCCGCCGCTGGGAATATAGACTGTGGTCGGGTAGTGGTTGACAAGCAGAGTTTCGACCTCAGAGAACTGGGTGGAGCTCGATCAGTTGTGCACAGCGTGGACAATGGCGTTTCTTATACGAACACCACATACACGATCGATGTTTGCAGACCGCTGGGGAAGGCAAAGCATGTAAAACCGGAGGATCAGTGTCCAAATGGAACGCGACGTATGTCTTCCTATGCTGCGATCCAGTCGTGTGCCATGCTAACAACAGACAGTTTGTGCCATTGAGCGCGTGATCAGCAAAGATGGCGAAAGCGACACTCTCGGAAAAGTATATCCTATCGCAGGGGAGCTGGTTGAGAAGGGAGGTTCAAATATGGATGCGAAGTGGGCGCTTCTCCAAAACTCGAAATCGAACGAGGATTCCACGAAAGAGGGTCTGATCCTTGAAATAAATGGGGGATTCAAGAAAGGCGAGGATGGGGGGAAGAAACGCCCGCAGAAAGCAATTATTGAGTTCCTCTGTGATAAGTCGCGGACGGGGTTAGAGAACCTTCCGAACCCAGAGGATCAATACGATGAGGTGGAGAAACGAGAAGAGGGCGAGGCGGAAAACGACGGAACACCGAGTCTTGAGTATGTACGATATGATACTGATGGAAAGGATGCGGACGTTCTGCGCCTGAGATGGAGAACGAAGTACGCTTGCGAGAGCGACACCCCCCCTGGAGCGCATTGGGGATTCCTCACTTGGTTCATCATTATGTACGTCCTCACCCCTTGACTTACCTTTTCCCCTGAAAAGTTGTAGGAAAGATACTGACAACCTCTTTTCTCAAACAGCGCATTCATGTCGATAGCGACCTACCTTATCTTCGGTTCGTGGCTCAACTACAACCGTTACGGTGCTCGGGGCTGGGATCTCCTCCCTCACGGCGACACGATTCGCGATGTTCCATACTTGATGAAGGATTGGTTTCGAAGGGTGCTGAACACTGTGCAAGGTAGTGGAACTCGAGGTGGCTATGCGGCAGTTTAAGATGTTAAAATGTGAGGAGGAATTCCTATATCTACCGTGACCAGAGGAATGGGTGGACAGGATTGTATTGTTGGCTGAAATCAACGCACGTGCCGTGGACTTTGGGAGAACCAGAGGAGTTGAGAGGCGGTATTTCGGGAGCTTGTATGTATTATCAGAAGCCATTTTGGTTCATCCTTTGAATGCCATGTATTTTCATCCTTGCCCCCTCTCCATCTTTGATCAAGAGCATTACTGGTGGGTGTGTTTGAGATGGGGCTACTTCATTCTGAGAGAACGTTGGAATAGCGGATGGCCGCTGAGTGGCGGACCGGGAAGGGTTTATACAGCTCTATGTACAGCAGATGGAGCTAGCCAGGAAGATTGCCATGACTTTTGTTTTTTATCGGACGAAGAGTTCTGGTCTCACTTGATTTCTAGGATCTCTGCTTGTCATCTGTCCTCCTTGAGATTTTTTTTGATTTACTCTGGCTTAGCTGGCATTTTACTAGCATCACCTCCGCTCCTTGGTCTCTTGCTCTGTTCCTTGTGTCAGGCACGTTTGACAGATAGATCATCGTCCCTTCGCACGCCAATACGGATAAAATCCAGGTTCTGTGTCTCAGGTCTATCAACCTGTCATGCAGTAGTTGCCACTGGATGATAGGAATCTAAGAGGCTCTATGTCTTAATGAGTAGGTCTTGCTCTATCGTGTATAAATAGGGTAGAGTCAACCGCTCATCAACACACAAACTTCAAAAGTGGGTGTAGCACACAATAAGTGTCAAGTGAATCGTATCTATCTATCTACAACTTCAGCATAGCGCTTTCTGCAATTTTCAAATGATTAATATTAAAGTGGGCTGGCTGGCTGCTCTTCACGGCCCTAGGGTCTCTTCCTGACCGTGGTGGAAATTCCACCACCAAACGCATCTTATATCCGATGGATATGTCCTCACTATATCCATAATATCTTCCCTCCTCCAGACTCCGGGGCAATCAGCCGGAGATCTTGGCACAAACGCCACACCATGGAGTTCTCTGAATGCGGGGGCATCGCATCCTTCCACCTGGTATTATTCCCGTGAAATCTCAGAAGTTAGAACCTCAGCTTGATCATTATTGACGGCAATATCCCATTAATCCCGACGGAAATCTTTCCCTTGCATTCGTATCTAGCCACGCGCCAATTAGAAGCCGTGGCTATATAGCTGTCACTGCAGCCTCCTCCTCCACCTTACCTTAAGTATTCTTAGCCGCGCCTGGAGAACAACCTCTCCGCAAAGCTAGAAGGTGACCGGGGCTTTGGGGTTGGTAACCAGAAAGGAAAGGAAGCCGAATTGCTGGTGATTATTCCCGTTTTGGTATTTTGATACCTATAGTTGTATTGATACATGATTATTATTACTGTGAGGCTCTATTGTTGCTCCTGTGACAAGCCAATGTCTTTCTAAACCAAGGATTTTCCCCCGGTGCTTCACAATAATAATGCAGCTCGGCATAACTCGTGCATAAAAGATGCTTCTTCCTCGGCTCCCAATACCGAAGGGAGGTGGGCCCCTTCCAAATTCAACCAATCAGTGCCCTGCTTCCCCAACCCCCTTGCCCCCACTTCCTCCCCGGACGAGAGCACGTGACTCTATCCTAACGTAAGCGAGCCAACATACCCCGCTGACGGGAGGTCCCCGCCATTATTCCCGGATATTCCCAACGGCCGGTCCAAGGGGAGAGACGCCCACGCGAAACGCTCGTCTCCACTGGGGACTCCGGGAATTAGCATCGAGAGGTGCCCCGGGAATAACACTTCCATCTTACAGCCGGCCGATTTCCATGGATGAACTGGGGGAACGGAGGGATATATATATGGCGGCGACCGCGCCCATGGGGATGGGGCATCCACATCTCAATCAATCTCTCTCCTCCCTCTCTCTTGTCAGGCTTCTCTTCTCTGTACCAATACCTGTCTTGCTGTTTGACTTGGCACTTCTCTACCCGACTCTTACAGTAATCTTCACACCGCAATCATGGCAAGCCCCCCCTCCTTGATTCCCATGGCGCGACAGCATTCTAATCATGAGGGAAACACAGACTCTCCACGTTGGACTTTGCGGTGCTGGTATCGGTGGTCTCGCCGCCGCCATTGCGCTCTGCCGCGCGGGCGCCCAGGTCACAGTCCTCGAGCAAGCGTCCCAGCTGGGTGAAATCGGCGCTGGTATCCAGATGACCCCCAACGCTGCGCGACTCCTCATCAAGTGGGGGGTCGCTGATGTGATCGGCGAGAACCTCGTCGAGTTCGAGGAGTTGAACATGCGCCGGAGAGATGGCACCAAGGTCGGCTACACCAAGATGATGCCGAACATTCGGAGGGATCTGAAATACCCGTGAGTAACAACACGCGACCGCAATGGGGAGGGTTCGTGCTGATGTGGAATGGAATAGCTGGTGGGTGGTGCACCGCGCACATCTGCACGAGGGTCTCGTGAAGATCGCCGAGAAGAACGGAGCCAAGCTGCTCATCAACTCCCGGGTGGAGCACATCGACTTCCAGGACGGCAAGAAGGTCACCGTCACCACTCAAGCCGGCAAGAAACACACCTTTGATTTCCTGATCGGATCCGATGGTGTCAACTCCGTCGTGAGAAAAACCCTCTTCCCTGAAGTCAAGCCCGCACCACCAACCAACAACTGCGCATACCGAGCCATCGTCCCCTACTCCCAGATCAGAGAGGACCCTGTCGCCAAGGAGCTGATTGACAAGCTGACCATGGAAGTCTGGATGGCCGACAAATCATACATCATCACATACCCTATTTCCGCTGGAAAGGACTTCAACCTTGTCCTCTCCCACCACATTGACCGCGCCATTGATAAGGTCGAGGACATTGACATGAACGACTTGAGAAAGGAGTACGCCAACTACGATCCTAGAATTAAGCGCATTGTGGACATGATCCCCGAGGCGCAGCGCTGGCCACTGCTCGTCACCGGCCCTCTCAAGTCTTGGAGTTCACCTCAGAAGAACGCCGTGTTGATGGGAGACGCGGCACACTCCATGGTCAACCACATGGCTCAGGGAGCTGCCACTTCGATGGAGGACGGAGCCTTCCTCGGACGCTGCATTGCTCAGGTTGTTCGAGGCCGTATCACTCTCGCCCAAGCTGTCGCCATCTACGAGAAGGCCCGTATGCCTCTGGCCTTCCAGAAGCAACAGGTCTCATTCTTGAACGGTGCCATCTGGCACTTGCCAGACGGACCTGCCCAACAGGCACGGGACAATGCGATGAAGCTGGAACTCGAGGGCAAGCCCTTCTTCCGCAGCCCCAACCTGTACGGAGACCCAACAACCGTCTTGTCGGTGTACGCATACGATGCAGAGGATCACGCCGACGCCGCTATCTATGAATTCGTCAAGGGCAAGGCCTACGACCCCCAGACGAAGATCACGAAGGAGACTGCGGATGTATATATGAACTGGTTCCTACCTGAGGAGTACGAGGGCAAGCAGATCAAGATTGATTCCAAGCTGTAAAGATAGCGATGTAGCATTTGGATTTTAGCAATGTTCATAGACTTTCATAGAGAGGTGCTTTTATGAATACCAGATCGTGCATCACTCAGAAGTTCGTTCCAGTGTATGGGCTCTGCACCGAGGCAAATCTGTAACCATTAGCTCTGAACGTTCCAACTACCGTCGTCAGCAGGAAGGGGAAAGAAACCTACCCCTGAGGGCATGCTCTGCCCAGAGGTGCAGATCCACTCCTTATATAGCAAATCTTTGCATCAGCACAAGCCTGGCTGGTACAGTTTGGACTCCTGATACTTGATTTTCCTTGGTACGTGTTAAAAGTAGACACCAGACTTCGATTTGACTCCATCGCAACTGTAACCTGGTGCCAGAAACTGGCGTTCAAGGGAGCATCGGCGGGCCAGCCAATTGCGCTTCCGTACACATCCCGGGTAGAGTACTCAAACTGATACGTTGGCCCCGTTGAGTTAAGCGCAGAGAACGAATTGACATCACTATAGAATGTGTAGGCTTCGTACACCTCGAATGAGGCGGTATCGACCTCGTACATTCGATAACCAGAGTTCATGTTTGTCAGTGGTGTCACACTCGGACCAATCCACCCCGAAGTTAACGCAGTGTCACTGTTCTGTATGGTGCCGTTATTGGCGTAGTATATCATGACCTGGTCTTCGTGTGTATGTCCCCAGAAGACGTTTGCGATTACATGCGGCGAATAGCGGTCGATGATCTGGTAGAAGAGATCGCTCGGATTCAACAGGAGGTTCGAACCATCCCATCCGCTGAGCACATGGCCAATGATCCATACACGCTCGCCAGCATCCTCGGCGGCTTGGAGCTCCTTGATCATGAAACTAAAGGTCCCAGATAAATCGGGATTGGTGGTATTGATGAAGTTAAGATAGTTGGACCGGTACCAGAAATCCGTGTTGAGCGTGATGATGCGAAGACCGTATTGATTCTTGACTGAGTATGCAGCATAATGGAGCGCAGCCTCGTGAGCATCCGAGGGGCTGAGCCAGCCATTCTGCTGCCACAGTGCAGAAACATGATCGTAGTTCCAGCTGAATTGTTTCCCGAGAGGCCCTGGAAGACTGTGCGGCCCATCGATGGCCACTGGACTGCTATCATGATTGCCCAAAACTGGGAACACTGGTCCATTAATGTATGTTTTAAGCATGTCGTATATGCTGGTCTCTGTGTACTCAACATACGCACGTGACATCTGGTTCTGGGCATCATGAGATACAAGATCGCCCGTGTAGATCGTCCATGCAGGAGAGGATTTATCGGCACCAGTGCCGGTCAGGGACCCAATGGATTGCAAAGCAGCAAGAGCGAGATAATACGGAGTATCACACCTGAAAATGTTCAGGCTAGTTTATCTTGAGTTGTATTAAATATCTGGAAGGAAGACTTACTTATACGCTCCATATAAGGGCGCAGGAAGGATTGCTTGAGAGGTAGGAGCCCCGGCGGAGGGTCTGCAGCAAAAAGACGAGGAGCAGTTGGCTTCGGATGCAACCTGATACCGAGGGTCAAGATGGAAGTCCGATAAATGAAGAACCTTGACTCTTTTCCCGCTCGCCTTTGGAGCCGTGGCATCTGCTGGCTTCGGCTTCGGAAACAGTCCAGTGGTATTCAGTGGGGTCGTTGTTGGGGCCGAGCAGAACGTACTGCTCAAGGAGTTGCAGATATATCTCCCATCAAGCCCCGTGACATCCGCAAGTGCCAGAACCTGGGTCCAGATTGCCCCAAAGCTACCAGCAGCATAGTTCGCCTTGCACGTAGCATTGGATGCAAATCCCGTGGACTGACAGAGCGATACCAAAGCATCTGGTACGTATGACGGTGCAGTCCGAGCGACCAGCTTCCCAATGCTGAGAGCGGCAACGCATTTGGAACAGTTACCAGAGAGGCCTCCATTGCCAGAAATGATGCCTTTGATCTCAGCCAGGGCGATTTGGACTAAAGCCTCGGAGCTTGCATCATCGAGGTCCGCGACGGGCTGGGGATAGTATACCGGATCATTGTCGGCGGTGGGAATTGTCCTGGGGTCCGTCAGGTTGAGCGGAAACGTGATATTGAGGACTGGATCGTGAAGAGCCGGCTGTGGTTCATTCGTGGGAGCTGGTTTGACCCAGTAACTGGAGAAGACAGACGTGGGGAAGGCCGAAGGCACGACGAAGGAGGACGCGCCTGGTAACCGAGCCTGGGCGGGAGCGGATGCCGCACTCCAGGAGACCAATGCCAGTAAGGCCGTGAAGAAGAGCAATACTCTGGTCATTGTAGGGAATGAAGAAACGACAGCAGAAACGAAAGCAGAAACCAAAGCGATGTGAGCGTTGCAAATTTATATCCTCATTTCTTATCTTTGCCCGTCGTGCCCTCATCCCATGTTAACCCAGTAACGTCGACCGCCAGTCGCACGAACGTGGCTATATGATTGGCTACTGCCCCCTGAAGATCAGAGCTTCAATGCACGGCAAAGGAGATAAAGTTATCAACTCAATTCAACTCAACTCAACTCAACTCAACTCGAGACTCAACTTCAACGCCGTAAAGTGCCACAAATCTTTGGAATGGTTGAATAAAGGCAAAATCCTGATCTTTTAACACGCTATGCCCACCAATGTCGGGAAATGCCCGAATAACTCCCAGCACGCCCACATGTACAAACACACTCGAAATAATGCTATTAAACACCCATTCATATAGAAATACCCAATATTCGACCTTGTTGGTCTCAAACTTACTGGATTATGGGTCTCCATTTATGAGCACCCAAGGAATAGGTACCATCGCCACGGACAGAAACCCAAGAAGACTCGTCGCCCACCTAATGCCAAGCCTGTCATACACTTTAACTCTCGTGGAGAAACGCAGAGAGTGCTGAGGCCCTCGATACAAGGAGACGGTCTTTTCTGGACGAAGGACTTCAGAGAACTGAAACATAATGCTCTATTCTTGTGCAATAACTAGGTATCTTCCATTTCTATCGACAGGTCCAAGTTCCAACATTCTGTCTTGGTGGGGGGTGGGTGGGCAGAGTGGGATGTAGCAGGCATTTCACATGCGATATTGGCCCATATGTGAAAATGGACCCCAACATGACTTCCAAACCCCGGCTTTTTGACATCAAAACTGACGGCGCGAGGATCTGGAGTGGCCGTACGCTCTATGCGCCTTATGGACTGTTAGGGAGATGTCGCCGCACCACCGCATTGCGATTAGGTTATACCCGTCACTTCCCTGATAGAGAACTCGGGATTCTCCTGCACGGGGTAAGCGAGCCGGCGTATGACTTCGATAGAAACGACCCTCCACCGGACGATCTATGATTGTCCTTCGCACCTAGAAGGGTACCTAGGGGCCAGGGCATACGCTCTTCATTAGTCCAAATAAACCGTAGATCCCCGTATGCGGGATATGCGGGATATGCGGAATTTGACACGGGAGGTCAGGCGGCTGGATGCCGAGAGACCGGGACGCAAGGAGACAACAAGGCACTGGTCATGAATCCTTTCCATTCTGCAGTCCCTATGTGTGTTTTGGCGCATCCGATTTGGAACTTGTAGCCTCCCTCCCCAATTCTTCCAAAGCAGACTCGTACCGTTCCCTCAATTCATTATCAAACAGCTCCTCTGCTTTCATATTGACTCTCTCAACTTTCGAACCCCGTGCTCGTTGTATGTTCTCTGAGCGTGCGATCTCGTTCCAAAACCACCTACCCTCTGTATCCGTAAACAGAGTCCATGCATTTCCTTTCTTCCCTGCCCTTGCCGTCCTCCCTACGCGATGTACGTAATTCGTAACGCTGGTTGGGATATCATAGTTTACGACATGTGCTAAGTTGGGGAGATCGAGACCACGAGAAACCAGATCCGACGCGACGAGTATAGATAGCTTGCCCGCGTTGAACGAGGCGATCGTGGACTTCCTGGTTGAGCTTCGGGTTGTGGAGGTAAGGGTGCCAGTGAGTTCTGAGTACTTTGGTTCCACTAGAGCAATGAGACGTCCCAGGCGAACTGCGGTTTCGTTCGATTTGGTGAAAATGAGGACGCCTCGAGGAGATGGAGCGGATGCAAGTTCATCACTCTCATTTTCACTGTTGTCCGAGTCGTCTGTAGATGACTCGTCGGAGGACGACTCGGAAGACGACTCGGAGGATGAATCGGAAGACGAATCGGAAGACGACTCGGAAGACGACTCGGAGGATGAATCGGACGAGGAGTTTGAAGATGAGGAGCCAGAGGAAGAGGAGCTGGAAGAGCTCTGGGAATCATCGTCAGGGCTGTCGGCTGGTTTGAAAGCCTGCCTGGATTTCAAAGTGCGAGTTGCCACGTTTTCTTTCCGTAATAGGTGCAGTAAGTACAACGGCTTTATCGTACTATCATCAACTTTTATAGCAGATTCAACCAGCAACGGCGGTAATGTATGCCCTTCTTCTGCCGTCCCATCCCCTTCGGATGATTCGAGAACAACAAGCCTCGGTCGATGAAGCTTCAGCCCATTGAGCTGCCCAATATCCCTAGTTAATGTGGCGCTGAGGATGATCTTGCGCACATCCCTCTCAAGACACTCCATGACCGTGTTTAACCACTGCTGAAAGCTTTGATCAAGCAGTTTATCCGCTTCGTCCACAACGAGCCATTTAATATGCTGGAGAGTGAATCCCGGCGTGGACTTCAGATGTTCAACCAGTCTTCCGGGAGTACAGATAAGTATGTCGACCTTCGAGATATGATCAATGACGTGGTCGGGCAATGGCGAGATATCTTCGCCGTCGCAGAGGAGGAGATCCTCCTCGCCATCACTTTCAACGTCAGAAGCCTCCCACTTCGCATTGAGTGGTTTTCTCTGTTCCCTATATCCCGTCGGATCGTGTCGTAATTGCTGGTCCATCAACGCCGCTTGTTCAGCCTTGAAATTATCACTTCCAACCGCAGTCCCAATCTTAACACGTCTCTTACCACCATTTGCGAAGGCATCGGTGCAGGTATTGCAGACTTCACGCGCTTGTGAGACAAGCTCTCGCGTTGGCATGACGATAAGACCTCGTAATTGTGTGACGATATTTTGGCTAATATTTTCAATCATGGGCAGAACATATGATAGGGTTTTTCCAGAGCCTGTTGCAGCAGAAACGAGAACGTCACCCTCGCGAGAGGGCCCAGGTAAAAGCAGTGGCAAGACCGCTGCCTGTACTGCGAATGCCTCCTTGAAGCCGTGTGCTTGTAGAGCCTTCTCAACATCCTTATGGACCCCAATCTCTGAAAACGGTGCAGTAATCGTGGGTGAAACCCTAATTGGTGATCCAAGCCACGGTGGTAAGGAGGATAAGGCGGACTGTACAGGAGGTTCGGGGGCAGGTTCTGGTTGAGGCAGAGGCCCCAGGCCGTGGATCTCTGCAGGTTCCTCAATTGGAGCTTCTTCTGTCTGGGCCGCTTCCGCTGCCGCTTTTTCTGCCAGCTTTTGGGCCCTCTTGAGGGACTTCTCCCTCTTCTCCATTAACCGCCTGTGCCTTGAATCCACATCTCCGTCGCCCTCCTCTTCAGCCACTCTCTTCTTTTTAGATTTCTTCGACTTTGGCTCCTCGGAGTCATCTGTCCGTTTCCGCTTTCCCGCATTCTCAGCGTCTGGTGGAGGATGGGACTTCTTCGACTTGGATTTCTCGAGTGGCTTGGGAGAAGGCGGATTGTCAATGGCCTCCTGGGGCAGTTTAGCTATTGCTGGAGAGATCTTCTGTTTCTTCAGGGGAGGAGCCTCGCGAGTGTCGATCTGCGAAGGCATTATTGCTGCTGTTTGGCCTGGTCATTGGGATTGGGAATTAGGAACAGCTTCAGCTTCTTCAGCCTCGCGGGGGAAGAAAATAAAAAACTTACGGTGACCCACATAACCCCAGAGTGCAGTTCGCAAGTTGCAGCGCGTTGGGAGGTCCCAGAGACCGCGAAGACCTCCAAGACCTCCAAGACCTCAAAGACCAGAGCTTGCTTCTGCGAATCGCCAGGTGCAACAATGCCTCTGTGAGCTAGCTCCTCGCGCTGACAGCTGGTCAGCATCGCCAGTCAAGATGCCCTACAATATTGCCATGGTCAGCGACTTCTTCTTCCCTCAATTCGGCGGAGTCGAGAGCCACATCTACCAGCTCTCCACCAAGCTCATCGACCGAGGGCATAAGGTTATTATCATAACCCATGCCTACGAGGGACGGACTGGCGTCCGATATCTCACAAATGGCTTGAAGGTCTACCATGTCCCGTTTCTGGTCATCTACCGCGCCGCGACATTTCCTAGCCTGTTCTCCTTCTTCCCCATCTTTCGCAACATCGTAATTCGAGAGCAGATCGAGATCGTGCATGGACATGCAAGCCTGAGCAGCCTCTGTCACGAAGCCATCTTGCATGCGCGGACAATGGGGCTGCGGACTGTCTTTACGGATCATTCGCTGTTTGGATTTGCGGATGCTGCGAGTATTCTAACGAACAAGCTTTTGAAGTTTACGCTGAGCGACGTGGACCATGTTATCTGTGTCAGTCATACGTGGTAAGCACCTGGGATTCTTTGCCGTCATGTTGTAATGGCCATGTTTCTGACTTGCGTAGCAAAGAGAATACCGTCCTCCGAGCCTCCCTCGATCCCCTGATGGTATCCGTCATTCCAAATGCAGTTGTCGCAGAGAACTTTCGACCGCGCAACCATCCCGCATACCATCCTGAGACTTTTGGCAACGAGGTAGTCCCTGCACCGCAGCATCTGGGTCCGCATGATACGATCACCATCGTCGTCATCTCACGACTCTTCTACAACAAGGGGACGGATCTCCTAGTCGCAGCCATTCCCCGTATTCTGGCAAGCCACCCCAATGTGCGATTCGTAATAGCAGGATCGGGACCAAAGGCTATTGACCTCGAGCAAATGCTAGAGAGGAATGTGCTGCAGGATCGAGTCGAGATGCTGGGACCCGTGAGACACGAGGAGGTACGAGATGTGATGGTTCGAGGACACATATATCTGCATCCCAGCTTGACTGAAGCGTTTGGTACTGTCATTGTTGAAGCAGCTAGCTGCGGGCTATACGTGGTATGCACCCAAGTCGGAGGCATTCCGGAGGTGCTCCCAGCACATATGACGGTTTTTGCGAAGCCGGAGGAGGATGACTTGGTTGCTGCGACGGGGAGGGCTATTGCAGCTCTGAGGGCAAATAAAGTAAGAACAGAAAAGTTTCATGACCAGGTAAAGATGATGTACTCTTGGACCAATGTGGCAGAGCGGACAGAGAGGGTCTACGATGGGATTTCCGGGGTCTTGAGCGAGGCGGACTTCTACGGATATGACGCTGCTGATGCCGCGAGTTGGAGTGCTACGAGAGGGAGGGCCGGGGTGCAGAGCTTTGCCCTCATCGATCGACTGAAGAGGTATTACGGGTGTGGTATCTGGGCTGGCAAATTGTTTTGCCTCTGTGTGGTAATCGATTACCTGCTGTTCCTCTTTCTGGAGTTCTGGGCCCCGAGAGAGAATATAGATATTGCGAGGAACTGGCCGAAGAAGGGGCAAGAGGGGAGGGTTGCGAGGGAACGGGAGAAGAGGAGAGAGGCTGGATAGCGCCGACGCGAGAAAAGATGATACCCCTTTCTTTTTCATTACTCAACAGGACCTTGGTGAAATCCAACTCTTCATCGGAAGTGCCCGTGCGATAAGAGGCGTCTGTCCTCGAGCAGTGAGAAGTTCCGGACAATTCGGCTCAAGATTCCATAAGGCTCTCTTTCGTCACGCACTCTCTACGTCCCGCAGAGTGCTCCTGAATGCCAGGCTTGTAGCTGGAATAGTGGATGCCGTACCGTATTCATGATGTACATCGCAAGCTGTGTGTGGGGACGGGGAACGCTCACAGAGATAAGGTAGGCAGAACAGAGATCTCAGATTTGCAGAATCTCCGCACCTGGTTCCCGAATAATGATATGGTTCAAGGGTTCAGGGGTTTTGAGGTTTCAATTTTTAACTTTTCCGGGTATGTCGTTGCGACTTTGCCAGAACAGAGAACAAGTTGTGGTGCCGCATCTCCACATTGACCAATAAAGACACCAGCAAGTTACAACCGGCTCAACCTTCAAGTCTCAAGAAACCCCCACAACTATTCCTCTGTACGAGCAATGATCAGCGGCCTGTACCGTATCTATTCATAAGCACCGTGAAATAATACATTATTTATGAAGATCCATACCGGGAAACATGTCTCCGACAAAGATTCGGCCAATTGCCATTCTTCTCAAGGCCTGTCTTTGACACCTTGTGGAGATGGGAATTCAGTTCTTGCCACACTGGCTGAATCATTGATTTCGTTCTTGAACCCGGAGCTCTCTTTCAAAGTCCAGCGACTCTAGCCCTTACTTACTCTTCATAAAGTGAAAGACATCCATGATCTCCTCACAGTGCACTGCTACTGTAGCAGACAATCAACGACTTCTCCGCAATGTTCAAGCCACAATTGGCGGGGTGAAGACTCTTGGATAAGTTGACCAGGCCTTGAGGCTTGAACGACGTACGGAGTTCGGAGTGCTACTGAGCGACGAGGCCATCCCCGGAAAACCAGCGATCAAAAAGGCTGGTTATCGGCTCCTCCTTGACGACGGCGGCGTCTTTCTCTCTTGTAGTAGCACTGCTAAGCAACTGTAGTTCCTGGCGCCCGCAGGGATCTAAGGGGTCTACAAGGAACTACTGCTGGTGCTATCGTCGTAGTCACTATCACCACCAACCATCGCTATGTGGTGTCCCACTGCGAGCGCGTCGATCGCATCCACTGACGCCATTTCAAGCACTATCCTCTCCCCTCGCCCTTCATTCATTTCTCCCTTCTCGTCGCCATGTCTTTTCTCTTCAACAAGAATCATCACGTTCCTTCGTCGCCATTCGCATGTTGTTGCCACCCTTTCCGTCCCATAAGGCCAAAATCTGAGCTCAATGTGACCAGAATAAAGTCGAGCGATGTCCCAAAACCAACCGACAGAGCTGCCTCTCACCCAAATACCAACTGCACGGTCAACTTCCTCGCAGCAGCACCTCCCTCCTCCTCATCCTTCTCTTTCGCACTCCTCCGCGCGCCGGTCGCACTTCTCAAGACACGATGAAGCTTTGCCCGAAGAACAGCCCCCGAAACCCGCTGGGAGGAGGCGCCGGGACGATGGCGTCAATCCGAACCCCCAGGATGGAGAGAAGGACACACATGTGAATGACATGGGCAGGCTCTACGAGAAGATACTCACATATGGAACCGGAACGCGCTACTCGATCTACATCATCCCGGTCGCTGTCGTGCTGATGATTCCGATCATTGTCGGAGCTACACAGGTGAAGGGCAACCCAAAAAAAGATCCCAAGATTGGAGGCATCCGTGTGGTTTGGTTCTTCACTTGGCTCGAGGGTGTCTGGCTGAGTTTCTGGGCCATGAAACTCGTGGCCAGGCTCATCCCGAAGATATTTGCCTACTTTGCCGGTGTTGTCAGTCAGGAAACAAAAAAATACGCTAGAGTTTTGGAGAATCTGGAGCTCATGATTACCTTTTTAGGGTGGGTAATTATCTCATTTGTGCTCTACGAGGTGTTGTTTAGCACGTCGGCGGCTGGAAATACGCCCTATGCTTGGACGACTAAGTTCAAGGAGGTTCTTGCCGCTATTCTTGTCTCGACCATTATTTTCGCCATCGAAAAGACATTTGTCCAGTTGGTCGGTGTTAATTATCACGCTCGGTCATTCAACAATCGAATTGCCGAGTCGAAACGGAGTGTGCACCTTCTTGGGCTTCTCTTCGATGCCTCTCGTACCCTGTTCCCCATGTATGGAAAGGAATTCTTTCAAGAGGACTACATCATCCATAGCAGCATTGAAGCCTTTGTCAAGAAAGGGTGGATGGGGCAAGGAGATCCAAGTAAACCACCGGACCAACCAAAAACTCATGGACGCCTATACAGGGGTATTGGCCGATTGGGTAACAAGGTCAATTCCGTTTTTGGGAACATCTCTGCGGAGCTTACAGGGAAAACTGCTCTGCACCCAAAATCAGCACATTCAATTGTCGTTCAATGCCTTGAAAGGAAGCGAGCGGCGACAGCTCTGGCCCAGAGGTTGTGGTATTCATTCGTCACGGAAGGTAATGATGCAATGCATCTGAGCGACCTTCTAGAGGTTCTTGGCCCGGACAGGCGAGAGGAGGCAGAGGAGTGCATTCAGATGCTTGATCCTGACGAGAACGGTGATGTAAGTTTGGATGAAATAACAATGAAAGTGTTAGAGCTTTCGAAGGACCGAAAAGCCATTGCCAAGAGCATGCATGACGTTAGCCAGGCGATCAGAGCTCTTGACAATGTACTGTCCGCTGTTGCCCTCCTCCTATCTTTCTTCGCATTGAGTAAGTTGCGCCTGTGATTGTCTCAGAGGAAGCTGACCCTGGTTTCAGTCTGTTTCTTGGATACTGGTTTTCATAGCATCCTTTCTACTGCCAGTTCAACATTAATCTCGCTCTCCTTCATATTCTCTGTCACAGCACAGGAATTTCTCGGCTCCTGCATGTAAGTTCCCCAGCATCAAAAGGATGCTTTCTAAGTTCCCTAGCATCAAAAGGATGTTTTCTAAGTTCCCAAAACCCTAACCCTACCTCTCTACGGTAGATTCTTGTTCGTGAAGCACCCGTACGATATTGGGGATCGAGTGGATATATACGGTCCAGATGGGATCAATCGCTTGGAGGTTGAGCAGATATCGCTTCTGTATACCGCATTCAAGAGAATTACTGATCTGGAAGTAATCCAGGTAAGAATTGCTCTACTAGATAGACCCTGACGATCTGACATCACTAGGTCCCTAATAATATTCTCAACACGCTTTGGATCAACAACATTACTCGTAGCAAAGGCATGCTGGAACGAATTGATGTCTATATCTCTTTTGACACATCTTTCGAGGATATTGAGACTTTGCGCCAAGAGATGGAGAACTTCGTCAATGATGAGGATAACAAGAGAGACTTCCAACCCCAGATCGTCCTTCGATGCCTGGGGGTAGGCACTATGGACAAACTCCAGCTTCAACTGGAAGTCCGACACAAGGTACGACATTCGTTCTTCTGTGTCTGACCTGCAAGCTGATCATATAGTCAAACTGGTCTCTTGAAAATATACGCGCAACTCGACACTCTAAACTAATGTGCGCACTTGTTTTGGCTTTGCGCAAGATCCCAATCTTTTCTCCAGGTGGTGGGGGTACTCCTCTTGGTGACCCAAGCAATCCTAGCTATAGCGTGGCTGTCTCTGACCAAGACGCTATAACTGCACGAGAAAAGGCTGCAAAAGCTGCGAATGCAGCACGTCTCTATCCTTTAAACCAACCAACATCCGATGCAGACAATGGAGGTTCCCAGTCACCCCTACCATCTCCGAAGGAATCAGGTAGGGCGGAAATTATTGCGGCCGATGCCATGCACACCATACGGCCTAGTGAGGATCCCTTAAGGGATGACGAGAAGGAACTCGACAATTTCAACGTTGTTGGAGCCCAGACTGGCTTGTCGCCGGCTTATGAATATGATGGGAGATCGCCATCAGTAAAGAGCAAGAGCCCACAGGGAAGACGGCGTCCTGGACTGAGTGCTCCTTCTATTGCATCCATTGCCTCTCGACAGGTCTCGGCATCTGTCGCTTCTCGACAGGTCTCGAACGACATGGCTCGAATAGCTAGTCAGTCTCACTCTCCGCCTCGCAATTTGGATGAGGAGGCTCAACGGGGATGAATTTCTAGCGCCAGGAATGTATAGAGCGAAATGACTGGCAAGGTATATGGTTATCTGGGAAGTCATTATCCTAGGCAGTGCAAATTATCAGTATATCGTCGACTCGACCCGGCCTTCGTAATCAGTGCCCATGCCTATCATGTAGGGCCGTACAACATCTAATGTGTTATCCCGGCTTGCTATCACTCGAATCCAATACCACATTGGGCCTTGTGCATGATTATGCATTGCATGTTAGCTCAGTTGGCATGATAACTCGAGTAGCGAATGATAAAGCTTTCTACAGGCAATCTCTTGTCCCTTATTTGTCAACTCTAGGTTTGGCGTGTCTGTCTTGAAAACCAATCGCGAACTTCTGGCATATTCACATACGATTCTGCCGAGCAATACGGAGCGTAAGGGTCCTGGCCCAACATACGGACCTCTGTACAGACACCATGGATAACCAGGGAATCCACTTCAGCTCGAACTGCGAACAGGGGCAGGGTCTAGCGTTATCTTGTCGGAACGGGTAATAGAAGGACTTCTCTTGCAATATCATCGTGCGAGCACACTTGCCGCCGTGCTTTCCCACCCACAGCTTCATGAGAGGCCGACATTGTCGATAGGGAGAACTAAGCTATCCCCAAGAAGTCGTCTCCGAGAAGCTGACCCTGATAGCTGGGTAGAATCAAGCTTTTACTACTCATAGATCCTGCCCATAACAAATAATTGTGTAGAAATTCCAAACACTGACTTCGCTCCTAATAACTCTTGCTACAATCTAAGAATACGACTCGAGTTACTACCTACGATGGCCGCCTCGACCCAGCCTACCACCACTATACATTCTTGCAAAACCGCGTTTCTCGAATCCTGCCTCTCTGCTAACGCCCTTCGATACCTACACGTACTCTAGTTTCCACAGGTCTCAATTTTCACTCCAGTCTTCGCACCTATACGCATGATTGTTAACCTCGCAGAGCCCCCCTACTTCTTCAACGCCCGCTCCTTCCATACCTCCTCCCTCCTCCCAACTATCTCCACCATCCAGTCCTACGCCCACCCCATCATCTCCTTCCTCTCTTCCCATCCTTCCATCCCATAAGCAGACATCCTCTTCGGGTACGAGTTCTCTAGCCTTTGCTTCCCTTTGGCGGAGTAGTAATACATATTGTTCGGGAACAGAAACCCATGATACTCCTGAGACATTGCACATAACTCAGGCATTTGTTATTCCAGAGAGATCGCACCCAAACCTGGTCGTCCGTCTCCTACAGCTTTATCCGCAAAGAAGTCAAAGACCCGGAGGTATCGTAGGTGCCTCGTTGGAAAGGAAGAACGTTCTAGTCATAGATGATGTGATCACAGTGGGCACCGCTATAAGGAAGACAATAAAACTAGCGGCTAACCAGGGGGGAAAGGTAGTGAGGATAGTAGTAGCGCTGGATCGGGTAGGGAAAGGGGGTGGATGATGGGGGGCCGAGCATGAGTGTATTGTAGCGTTGGACAATCTAATTGCGGTGTTGAGGGGCCAAAGGGACGAGGGGAATATAGAGAGTTTAGAGGAACATAGGAGGAGATATCTGGCTAGTGAATCGTCACTGAGGTTATTGATCTGTTCCAAACAGGCAGAGAATAACCCGGCGGCCTCGTAAGAATAACTGAGCACAGTCGCGAGAGCTCCCAATGACACGGATGCGAATTCATTGAAATAAATCCTGGAGTTATCGTTTTCTATGGACGACGATGCTGAGATTGGTAAGCTATAGTATCGTAGATGGGCCAAAGATGATGAGCATTGAACTCCAGAAACGTTGAAGTCACTGTCGTCGGACTGGAATTCTACACCAACGTTCAATACCCCTCCAGTCTTGAACTAGAGACTTCTGAACATTTGACTTCAGTAACAGGGTCACGAAGGAGCACGATATCTGGAAATAAGGGCCAAGAAGAAAGTCCTAAAAGGGCAAAACCATTGTTTCTGCTGCGCCTGACCGTTGATCATGTTTTACGTGGTGGTCACTGCCATTCTCCAGGCCTCCATTACCTTGTTGTGGGTTTTGCTCTCCTCACTCACGGGCAGATTGAGCTCTGCGACAATTGAACACAACTGATCGACCTTGTCTCTCATAGCTTCATCAGCTGTTCTCAGTCAGGCACGTGCACTGGCACCACACTCTGCCAATTGTTCCCTGGTATTCTCTTGTCGAGCAGCCTGGAGACTTAGATAGTATGCGTTGTTATTTTACAAAACTCTACAATTTCTTTCTTTCTCTCCTCTACGATTTCAACCTATACAGGTAGCATAGTGAGAATTTCACCAACGTGCAAAAAGATGAGCTAGGAGGTCTTCGACCGTTCTTGACCTCTTTAACAGTTCTTCTCGTATAGAAACAGATCTTTACCACAATTCTCTTTTATTCGTCCCGTGACACCCCCTATTTTTGCGAACGAGTTCTTCGAAGGCCACTCTCTACATGCCTCACACTTATGTAGGAACTGGAAATGTTCGTGATGGAAGTATTATTAGTATTATTATTAGTATTATTACAGTAGTAGTCTAAAACAAACCATTACCATATCTATACTCGCTCGGGACAGCAGGCCAATCTTCCGGTGCATCAAGAATTATTGCACCCATACCGCCCGACAGATGCGTCTGGACATGGCAGTGGAGCAAAAATGGGCCTGGATTGACGACCTGGTACCTTACTGCTAACCACGAGTCTTCAGTGGTGGCTGGAGGTGTTGTGAAGCTATCACGCAGGGGCGGGTTGTTGAAATTGAATGCCTCGGGGATGTACTGCATCGCTTCTGCAACGGAAGAGTAATTAAATGTGCCAACCCCTTGACCGATGATGTAGCCTTTGTTCGAGTGCTTATGAACCGGATGGGGAGGTTGAAGTGAGGTTATCTTGAAGATAAGGTCCACCCATGTACCATTCTTAGTCGTAATAGTAAGGTTGCGTTCCTCCGGTGTGGTCGAGTTGGGGTTGAACAGTATGGGAGTTGCAGTCTCGAAGCCCATACCGTAGGACTCCTTTCCATTAAGAGTCCAGAGGTAGGACCCTCCAAAGTGGCCAATCTCAAAAAAGTGTGTCGCATCCGCGGTAGTGGCAGGCGAAGATGCCGGAAATCCTTTTTGTGTGGCATCCGAGAAAAAGACGACCTCTTCAGTCAGGTTAGAGCCGGCGTAATCGATGTATGGCGTCGATTGGCGTTTTGACTTTTTGGCGCCGGTGTATGATAGAGTCGCATAGCCGCTGAGGACCTGGTTCAATCCGACAGTGGCAACCCGGATGGTATAATCGCCAGGGGCTTTGTCAAGCTTCACCAACGCCGAGTATCTGTTTCCATTTGGGACGGACACAGCATGGACCAAAGTGGGTTCAATGTGTCGACCGTCTGTGGCGTAAATCCACATGGGATGCTCGTCAATGGAAACCTCCAGAGTACTGACGTCCGCTGTACTTATTATATTGATGCTTACCCATCCGTCTTTTGGGTCAACCTTGATTACCTCACGAGGTGCTGAGGTATTCTGACAACCGTTGTATACGTTGTAAGGGATCTCGTTGAGCTGATGCGTGAAATTTCCTTGAGCAACTGGCACATCAGCGGGAAGGCATCTAGTTGATCAGCACGAATATAAGCAGTACCCCTAGAGCTAGACTTACCCTTTGTCTGTAAAGGTCAACCCAAGTGGAGTCAAGATCTCCCGAGCCGCAGCAGGAGTATACTTGTTGATCTCTTCTTGTGATAGACAGGCAACGGAGCCTTTCCCATTGACGAGAATGCTATCCATGCAGGTGACATCTACATCGGAGGCAGCTTCGATATTCCAGAACTCTTCAGACGTGAGATGGCTCCAATCTGATATTATCAGAGGCTTGGCATGATTCTCAGCTCTACGCATGGCAGCCAGGTCGTAACTGCTATTGCTAATCATCTTGAATGCCGAGGGCTCAGAGGAAGGTGGGTTGATCAGGATTGCGCCGAATAATCCATCAGCGAGCTGTTCCAGTTAGAGCGCTACACTAGAGTGTAATCCGGTTGGGAGATCAGGATTACTTGCCTGTCCTCTCTCATGGGCATGGTACCAGTATGTACCGTAGTCGGTAGCCGTCCATCTGTATACAAAAGTCGCACCGGGCGATATTGGTTTCTGGGTGACTCCAGGAACTCCATCAGACCATGGAGTGCCGACTTGATCAATGCCATGAAAGTGGATCGTAGTATTGAAGGGCATAAGATTTGTGACGGCGACTTCAACTTCATCACCTTGAGTAACCTCGATAGAGGGGCCGGGAAACTGTCCGTTGGTGAGAATCATCTTCCTTGCGAAGCCATCTGGAGAATGCGTCTCCCACGTGAGGCTGAACTCATAACGTATAGGCGTTCTGTTCAATGGTGGCCAGAGACTGCTACCTCGAGCAGTGGTGAAGACGAATGCCCACAAGAGGAGCTTAACAAACCCTAACGAAACCATGGTCGACCGGAACAGGGAAAGATGTCGAAGAATGAAAATACATCCAGAATGCAGGGACGCATAACTATATATACAGAGATTTCCAGCTCCCCAATCTCCTCAATAATCAAAGCTGATTCTTCCCAAATCCCCACGTCATCATATTGGCAATCTCAGGGAATAGAAGATAGGACAGTTAGAAATGAATTCCCGGAGCCCGTCCTATCCACATGCCCGTTCTCGATAGTGCCGGTGAACCCATGCTCCCGGCTCAGCACAGTCCAATTGTAGGCCGACGGGCCAAATAATCTCCAGCTGAACCGCTGTTAGAATATGGGTTGAGGCTAGCTGAAAGCCTGAACACGAGTCCCGACCCTCGTCCGGGTGGGTCGCGCCGAAGGGACAAATTGTGCACTGATCTTACTCTACTCACCCTCCCTCATGAGTCTTGGCTGGCCACGATAGATCATAGAGCGGTGTAGGTTACACCGTGTAAGTTACACAATGCGGTCGGTCTATATCTTACGAGTCCTAGGAACTTTTGCGGTCCCAAGAGTAAGGTGGCCAACCCGTCATTGGAAGTTTTTCGCCGATTTGCAGCTCTAGTAAGCTCGGTCGCCAGACAATGGCTTGACAAATTGAGAGTTAAGGTAGGTACCAGAAACGCCGGCCCTGGTGGTGATCTTTCAGGCCGCGAGGCATGACTCAAGGCAGCCAATAACAATAATTGGGATAGAACTTAGCTATGCCCTGCCCTGGTGGTGATCTTCAGGCGCTAGGAATAGTTTGGGTGATCGATCTCTCGGGGAGTCAGGGGGGCACTACTGGGCAGGATCTTTTCCGGGTAAAGTCGCGGGCCCGGATTCCAGGATCATGGCTTTCAGTCCACGAGTATATATGTACTCCCTTTGGCCTCCTACATTTTCCCGTTTTTCCTTTTTCCTTTTCCCTTTTCCCTTTTCCATTTTCCATTTTCTCTTGATCTTACATTCTTGTATAATGGGCAATTCACCTCTTGTTTATCCGCAACCCCCGTAGGGAGACTCCTTAGTGCCGTGCTTCACAGTAATGAATGTGGAAAAACTAAGAATGCGTTGGCCAGTCCGGATTGGCTTGAAGCCATGACTGTAAATATTTACTTTACCTTAATAGGACTTTGATAGACCGCGGGTTGCGGGTCTGGCGTCGCTCGTTCAGGCATGGCGCCCTCCGCCGCACCACTTGACGCGCCTTTCTCTCCGAGATCGAGAATCGAGATCGAGAAAGTCCAGTACTTAAATGGCTATACATCGGCATAAGTAATCGTGGGTCCTCCAGGTTCCGACAAACCGACACTCACCTGCGGGTTGAGACATTAGTAATATCATAATTTCATAAGGCATTGCATTATTATTCTGGGGCGTTAAGGTGGAACCGCTTTTGAAAGTACAGCAAAGAGCAGACAATACGCTCTGGTGCTTCTATTAGAGGAGGACGAACGGGAAAACATAGATGAAGAACATCTTTTGTATACTCACGGCTTGAGAAACAGGAGGTGATGACTTTAGGCGCGTCGCGTGACATCCCGACGCGTTGCACGGCATCCCGACGCGGGCGGCGCTCCCGAAATGCCCGGTCCGTCCCGACTATACTAAGGCCGGCCATACTCGATATGTCAAGATCTATCTAGATCCTAGATAGTTTCCAAAACCAAGAGGAATAGTAAACTTTTGTTTACTTTCTAGCAATCCCACTAGGTATGTAAATGTCCAGAAGCCTGGCGTGTGTCACTGCCGTAACAATGTATACACGAACAATACCCTTTCCTCTTGTCAGGTGACTCGCGTAAGCTGCCGGGCACCCTGTAGCATTCTTCAGACATCCAATTACCATAAGATTCTACATATCTCAACACTACTACAATCACAGTGTGATCCAGACTACAAGTGCAGTCCTTTCTCTATGATACCCCTTAGTGCTTCACTCCGTTGGAGGGCGGTTGTCCTCTATAATAGGATTACGAAGACGCACAAAGTTCTTGCGCGCCGTCAGCGGCCTGTGACCAAATCAACTCTTGCTACGTGGCGCATCATTGCCCTGGCCTAAATAAAACAGCATCAGCCTGAAGAAGTCAGCTCTCGCTTTTGTTATTATATCTAGAGCTTTGGTCTCGTCGAAGAGTACATGACTCCTCCGATTATACCACGGTTGTAACCATTTATGGATCCAATCAAAGCGCATCGGCATGAGGATTATTGCCTCGTGTGTCAGAACTTCCAACACTTCGAACACCGCTCAATTACCTATACGGGAGTAACCCTTCAAAGATGGCTAATTGAGCGCCAAGATCTGGAAACTTCTGCGAAAGCCGCTCGGTGCTCTCTCTGTCGTATGCTCCATAGAGTTGTGATCGGCTTAGAGGAGTCCTAGGCTCTAGAGCTCGGGTGATTTACCTTCACAACCGCGGGAACCAAGGTATAAAAGGGTTGACAATAGACGTTATATATAACGGGGCCAGAGATGAACACTATGAATTCTACCACTTGGCAGGTAAGATTGGTATTATATCTTATCCTTCTGCTCTTGCTAGTAGCCAATATAGGCGTTTTCTCGGGCTGATGTAACCAGAGGGTAGCTTTAACTACCTCATCCCGAAGTATAGGCACATACCAGGAAACACGGCGTCAGATGAGTCCTTGTTCTGGGCCAGGCAGAGACTGCAGTCTTGCCTTGGGCAACATAATGCGTGTCCGAACCATGAGGAGACGATTTTGCCAAGAAGGGTGCTCGACCTTGGTCTGTCTACCAACACTGACGATTACACTGGAGATCTAAAGCTGCGCCAGGCCCTAGACGAACGTTCACCGTACTTTTGCCTCAGCTATTGCTAGGGTACTAGTCATTCATTCAAAACAACCTCGGCGACACTTGAAGAGTACTTAAATAAGATTTGTTAGTCTTCGCTTCCCAAAACATATCGCGATGCTATCGTGTTTACCCGTCGAATGGGCGTTCGATACCTTTGGATTGATTCGATGTGCATTATTCAGGACAACCAGGAGGATTGGGAAGTAGAGTCGGCAACTATGTGCAGCATCTTTCAAAACGCAACTTTGGTCCTTGTAGCGACAGCCTCGTCGGATGCTCATGGCGGTTGCTTCTCTAGCGTCCCGTTACACAGCTGGCATCAAAAGGTTTGGGGAGAACCCGACGACGCAGATCACAACGTGTACCTTCGTAAGCAAATTAGACACGAACCATTTGTTTAAATCGGGTACCTTGTCGAAGATAACTTACGGGCCCCTTTACTGAAACGCGGGTGGGTATATTAGGAACGCCTCTTACCCTCTCGATTATTACATTTCCTTTCGGGAGAACTTATTTGGGAGTGCTTAGAAGAAGGCCTTTGTGAATGCTCTGCTACACGTTTACCTCAGAAACCTATCGTCTTAGATGATTGGCGCCACCAAGGTTTGCGTGCTATAGTGACAAAATGGCACAGCCTAGTCCAGAGTTATACTAGCTTGGATCTCACGTTTACATCTGACAAGTTAGCTGCAATATCTGGTATTGCGAAGCTGCTACATAGATCCTATGGCAGGTATCGAGGCGACTATCTCGCAGGCTTATGGCGAAATACTTTGTTATTCGACCTTACTTGGCATGTGATCTGGTCGGCACGCAAAGCTAGACCTCCCCAATGTTCATTCAGAGCTCCGACTTGGTCTTGGGCATTAGTAGATAGTAGAGTAATATATCCTGACTTATTCTAACTCGCAACTTTGGAGGCATTTACCAATGTTCTAGAGGCACACTACACACCAAAAGGACTGGATAACTTTGGTCACCTTTTAGATGGATATATTATTGTCCGTGGCCCTCTTCGGAAGGTGAATTTACGACATAGGACCGAGGGAGCGGAGTATTCGCCATTTCATCTGTACGTCAACCGGACCAGCTTCGGAGACGGTGAAGAAGCAAGCAGTATTAGAGTTTATATCGACTGTCTTTGGGACATGACACACGGGTGGACGGTGGTCGAACCCTGCGTACAGCAGCATGAAGAAGATTTCTACTGTCTTTAATTGGCACGTGTTAATGAGCAACAATATACTTTCATCTTGATATTGAGATGTCTTGATGATTTGAACAAGATCAAGATCTATGATCGTATTGGTATTGTAACGATTGACCACTGCTGGGATAAGAAAAGGTATCTAGAGTTTCCAGCTCTGTTCCGCGGGATTCAACACGAGACAATAAGGATTGTCTAGTGCTTGATCAACCGGCCATTCAGCACTTGACCGACAAACCCTATGCTGGCGAACAGGCTCCGGAAGTTTGTTGCATATTATTGCACACGGAGTATGCTATGTAATAGCCTTATCAGTTTCTGTTTGTCTGCAAGTGAAATGCAACGATACGAAATCAACACTAGACAGTTTGGTGAACATCGAGATGGCATGTCAAAAGTTGGACGTACAGAGCGCAGTATAAGGAACGTGCAGCACGTCTGCTACCTCAAACTACAGGCTTAATCGGCTGAATATTGATCCGAGTCAACTTATTAGTTCTCCGATTGACTTCCATGCTTTCCATTCAATCGATATCTACCTTTAGAAAAGCATCAATTCGAGGTCTGATGGCCGACTCATGTTGTATCTGTGGCCAAGGGTTAGCCATTGACCATAGTAATGCCCTAGATTGGTGCAAACGCCTTCGCGCTCGTAAGTTACTCCGATTGACAGTGATTGTGAGCAAATGGAGACATAGTAACATTAGTCTTCACAGTATGTTGGTTTGAAAACAAAGCAATCCTTAGCGGTATAGGCCATAATGACAACGCCGCGATACCTTTCAACCTACCCATACCTTCACATGGATCTAAACGATTTTGCTATCGCCGTAATCCCACAAATCTAGAGGTGATCAAAGACATCTGCTACCCTTTCCATGTCGCCTGCTGGTCGTTGCTCGAAGATAGCCAAGGTGGAAATCTTCTTGAAGATGAGCTTCAAGTCTTATTTGACGTTTTTGAGAGTTTTCATTACAGCAAGAAAGCACGGGCTCTCACTTGGGGCAAAAAGTATTATTTTGGCAGCATCCTGGACTCTTACCCAGGCCAAGGAGAGGATGCATTCGGAAGATGGCAAGAGGACCTAATAGCTACTAATAAAGGAAACACGGCTATCCTGTCAGATCCGACGAGTTTCAAAACTCACGCAGATGCTACTCAGAACTGTCGCCCGATATCTTCTGAGCTTCTCTCGTCCGACCCATCACCACGCATACGGACCGGTATACCAGTCGGCCTTATCGCTCACAACGCGGTGGATTTTCCGTCCCTCCCAGCCGAGACTTTTCAGTTCATTGTTTGTAACCTTAGCTGCGAGGATGCTCAGAATCTCCTCAGAGCTAGCCCATCCCTCTATCGGATGTATTGTGGAGGTGAGAATCTGCCCGATGTATTCTGGGAGTCCAGGTTTTGGGCTCGAGGGGAAGCTGCCTTTGCGCGAACACTTCGCCCCGTCATCAGTGAGCAGCAAAACCAAGTAGCTCGAGGGGGACAAGATGTCGCGCCTATCAATACCAGCACAATACGGTCAATACCAGTCTACTCCTGGAAAGATTGGTTTTTTAAGGTCAAGTCGGAATTGAAGGAAGGACCGAATAAGACGAATTTACGAAATCGAAAGAGAATCTGGAAAGTCGCAGGCGAATTGCTGATGCTCGTAAGCACTATCAAGAACCCAGATCGTGTGCTACATGGTGATCTTATGACATCCCCTTCAAGTCAAGCAGGACGCCATGGTATGAGTTGCTTAGCCTCCGAGCATGATCCCGAAGGTTGCCGAGAGTTAAAGCAGATGCGTGTGTCTTTTGGGGATGACATTGCCGGATCTCAATTCCAAGCACTGATTCCGTCCTTTATTATTATATCGGATCGTAGATTGATTTCTGGCCTCTCTTTTATTTTCGATGACGGCCGATCCGTTGATGCGGGCTATGTTGTGGCAGGGCACAAAGACTTCGCTACTCGACACCATTCTGAGTCTATATGGGTTATTTGTAGCCCCGCCGGATTTGAGACAATTACGCTCGGTGAATATCCGCAAGAAATCGTCGACCGTCATAGTGAAAGTAGGATTGCAATGGCTAGGTTGCCATGCCAAGGCCTCAAGGGCATTGTCCTTGGTCTCAATGTAGGACTTTCCCCTCTTCGCGTTCCGACCTGGATGGATATGTCTGATGTTATTTTCTTAGGCCATGCAAATTGTTCGGATCTACTTTGATAGAAACGAACAAGACAGCCTCGATAATATCCTCTGGACATTACCTTATCCCGTGTCGGCCCCTTCTCTATGCAATGACGACGTGAGAGCTTTATGTGAATTGCAAAGGGCATCGTTCACGCCGGCTTCAACCGTGTGTATTGAACCGGCAAAGGGACAACTAATCGCAATCAAAGTACATAGTCCTCTAGGGCCTGGTGCTGGTATTTCCGGTATCCAGTTTGTTTATGGCAGTGGTCTCACAACTGGATGTGGTACCGCTGATGATACTGCCACACTAGCTTTTTTCCTCGATGAAGCAGAACAGCTGACCCAGGTCACAGTCTACAAGATTGGTTCTTTTGTTCATCATCTGAAAGTAGGTGTCGGTATTAATATTTTTTTAATGGCGTTATTGCTCTAACCAAGTCATAGTTTTCAACGAGCCACAAGAGGGCGAGTGGTCTGTTGCCACAATTGACGGTGCCAAATACAGAGATAGAGTGTGTCGAGTATACGTCTACAGACAATCAGTCTATAACCGGATTCTGCTGCTGCTTTATAGTAGGCCAATTTCTACAACAACAGAGAACACATCTGATTCGGGCTATAGGAGGCGACCAAACAACTTCACTGCTTTGGGGCAATAGGAGAAGCTATTGCCATCTCTTCGAAGTCTACCAGTTTACCCCCGGTCGATATTCCCGACGACATAATCAGCAATCATGGCATTCACCGATCTCATTTACTACTACCGAAGAAGTATCGGTCAGTTCGGGCATCTGTTAATCCCACCGATTCAAAGTATCGGAACAGGGGCCAAGTCACCGGCCTTATCTTCCGACTAAGCAACGATACCCGCCACCCCGATTTGCTTGGCCAATGGACAGGGTTTGGTGAAATTTGCTACTTGGAAGAGGACGAGCAGATTTTAGATTTAGAGGTCACAAGGCGTAAACCAAGGTGCAGGGTTCCAAGGCCGTGGTTTTTACAAATTCAGGGAATCACTATAGTGACTAATCTGAGGAGAATAACCTGGGATTTCCAAAGTCTCTGCACCAAGCGATGTAAAGATAATCTCGCAGGTGGTTTGATATTTCAACGCTATCTACGACGATGTAAAATGTATTTATTAAGGATCGTATATTTTTGCCGCAACAACATTCAAATGGATCTGCCTGTATTTTGTCATCAAAGATCGGTTAAATCATCAAAAATCTAGAGTACGAGCACACTATCACTGATAATAATCATCGTTCCCATCCCAATATTGCCAAAATGTCTCCCTGTTAGTATCCATCCATCCTCTACTATTATAAACCCACACATTCATTGGTCGATGTTGCTGACAAATGTGATTTCCCCCAAAATCCAAATAAAGGATCGTTGTCGGTCATCGATATAGTAATGAGGTCCAGATGGTTCAGCCTGGGATGCAACCGGGGCTGTTGGAACCGCGGCCCTACTAGTACACGCCTTGGTACTCTCTAAGAGTACCAAGGATTTTAGTAAGGAGGGTACCATCGACTTTTTAAAGGGTTGGTACCCTTACTTTTTAATAAGAAACACGTAATAAAAATACTATATTTAGATTCCTTAGGGTCTAGGGTACTATAAAAACTTAACTCGGCCTAATTAGGTCTAGCCGTTAAGGAGATATTAAGACAAGTATACATTTTTTTAGAATTTAAAGTATAATTATTTAAAATTTTATATTTAAAGAACGGCCTAGCCGATTCTAGTAAAATTAAGTTTTTAGCGTCTTCTTAGTGTCTAATATAGGGCAAAGCCCTAATATTACGTAACTACCGGATATATTAGTAATATTAAGAGGGATGTTTAAAAATATATAAGATTCTAGGTTTTTATAAATAACTTTTGTACTAGCTATTTTCGAACTAGCGTTTCTTAGCTTAATATACTCTCTTAGTAGTAAATAAGCACTAGTAGAAGTCTTAGATAATTTGACTTACTACTTAATTTATAATTTAATATTTTACTTTAACCTTATATAATATTATATATATAATAAGT